ATGATTGTTAACGGTTTGACAAGGGTTTTTTTTAATTCATTTCACTTCTTCATTGTGTTAACAAGCCAAAGAAACAACCCTTCAAACAGTCGTAATAGAAAGCTTCTAATATACAATATATGAGGTTTACACCATATATTTTATCAATCATTACTGTGGGTTTTTTCAATTGATTTGCAAGTGTCAAGTGAGAGCAAAACCACTAATGTGATTTGTACATTGGTATTTTTCTCGTTAGCGAATGATATATATGGCTGAATAGTGTCGTCAGAAGTCCAATTTGTTAGTTGCAGTGGATGTGGAAATTTAAAGTCAAATAAAATGTTGTACATATGATCATGTCATTCAACATGTTTTACTGATGCCACTTAGTCAACAATTGCCTGTGTATAAGTATTTACAGTTTTGAATGTGGGTAAAACGTGTTCTAGTTCCCTCCCACGCGCTAGCACGATAGGGATTATAAAATGAAATGATAATGACATTCCCTTTCTTGACAGTTTTTTGTGATAGTTATGGAGCTAACGACAAATAGAACAGTAACCGATGAAAGTTGTTGTAAATATGACAGTTTATCGTGTGAAAAGCGCAGAGTATAATCAAGCTGTCAAAAGTAAGTCACCTGACGACTGGGACCGATACAGAAACATCAAAAGCAAGATGCAAAAGGAAACTAGGAAAGCTCATAGCTCATATTTGTATACTGTGATTAGCCCGGAAGCTAAAGAAAACCCTAAAACGTTCTGGAGCTACGTCAAAAGTAAAAAAGTAGACTCTTCGAACATTCCTCCTATTAGAGATCCTACCAATTCGGACAAATATCGAAATTCATTTTTTCCCAGAACTATCACTACAGGGAATTCTCTACCCGAAGATATAGCCCAGTCACCTGACTTGAACCATTTCAAATCAGCTCTGTCTGCCTATCATCCTAAAAACCTCTATATTAACTCTTGTAATTATCATGCATGTATATAGTTTTATCTTATCATAAAATAACCAAAAACATTAATGCCACCTCCAAGGACACCTAAAAATGCGGCAACTGCACTCATTTCTATGAGATCTGCCGCAGTTAATGGAAGAAGAAGAAAGTATAAAGTATCGTGTGAGGCATACGGATAAATACACCAGAAAATTACTTCTGACAAGTGAATCATTTTTTCGTCATCTTGATGTCAAACTGAGTTATTTTTGTTCAAACTCAATTTTTAAAAACCTGCATGCAGACACACGAATGTATTATGAATATTATCTTAAGACAAATATTTTAATACCAGAAAATGTATATCTTGTTTACTTGTTTTCTTGTATATTCTGAGCTTCTCGGGACAAGTAATAAAATCCAAACCAAAAGCTTCAATTTTATATTCAGATATATCGAAGATGTTCTGTCTTTGCGTAAAATTAAAGTCATTGACCACATGGATTGTTATATATACCCTCCAGAGCTTAACAGCAAGGACACCACATAATCTCAGCCACTTACCTCTGTCTTCATTTACAACATAAACACACAGGGATGACCTACTATCAAGACGATAAGCGGGACGTTTTCACATTTCCGATAATGAAGTTTCCCTTTTTTATAGCAATATTCCTGTCCCCAAATTCGATGCTTTCGATTGCTGTCTCTACCCGAGATCTTGATGCGAGGACGTGACATTACTTGGATTTGACCTAGATTTCTATGGCGGATATCGGCGATGAAGCATCAGACGCTTACCCTTACGAAACACCTGGACATATTCTCCTTGTACTTTTTCAAGAGTCTCTATGTAAATCTTCCCTTTGTTCATACGTTACCCTTGTCTAATTGATTTTGAGTTTGAAATATGATTTTGTTGACACTTCGGTATTCTCTTGTTGTCTTCTGCTTCAAAACCATGATATAAATAAAGATTTTGATAGCTGATTTTGATAGTAAATATCATGTTAGACTTTCAAATTCTTGTCGGTTTTTACTTGTGGTTTGAAATATCACAAACTTTTCGAATGGATCAAAATGGAAATATTATGGGGCCTCTCCGTGTTCCATGACAAAGAACACAATTTTCTTATGTTTTATTCCTTTGCTTTTCGTCCGTGTCATACAGTAACGGGTTCCTTTCCGGTTAAAATCGTCAGACAAGTAATGATTTCTCCTTGAAATATAAGGGATTCAAGAATTGATCCTTCTAGAACACAAGCTTGAAAAAGTTTCCAAGAAAATTCATTAGTCTGAAGTATAAATATACATGATTGTGTATGGTTTAACAGGCGATTATTAATACAATTCAAAAATCTATCACATTTTTGCTTTTATTTTTTGCTTATTTTTCTTACAAGTTTAAACAACAACCTTCATGCAGTAATCCTTTTTTCTAACCTATTGCTGTGGTATATCTTAATTAATTGGAGAAAGGATAAAGTATTAGAACCTGGCTCAAGTGAGACCAAATGTTAGTATTTTTCTCGTTAGTGAAGGGTATCTATGTTTAAACAGTGTTGTCTGAAGTCTTATTGTATGTAAGATTGGATATATAAGTTTCTAATCAAATTGGAGGTTGTTCATATATTCATGAACTAATCTTTCTACCAGTTTGTTGATACAACTAAGCAGTAAACACTGCTTAGGGTTGGCCAATGGTGGAGGGTTCAGGAAACACTGGTTAAGTTACCAGTGGTGGAGGGTTCGGGAAACACTGGTAGGGTTGACCAGTGGTGGAGGTTTCGGGAAACACTGGTTAGGTTACCAGTGGTGGAGGGTTCGGGTAACACTGGTTAAGTTACCAGTGGTGGAGGGTTCGGGAAACACTGGTAGGGTTGACCAGTGGTGGAGGTTTCGGGAAACACTGGTTAGGTTACCAGTGGTGGAGGGTTAGGGAAACACTGGTTAGGTTACCAATGGTGGAAGGTTAGGGAAACACTGGTTAGGTTACCAGTGGTTGAGGGTTCGGGTAACACTGGTTAAGTTACCAGTGGTTGAGGGTTCGGGAAACACTGGTAGGGTTGACCAGTGGTGGAGGTTTCGGGAAACACTGGTTAGGTTACCAGTGATGGAGGGTTCGGGTAACACTGGTTAAGTTACCAGTGGTGGAGGGTTCGGGAAACGCTGGCTAGGTTACCAGTGGTGGAGGGTAAGGGAAACACTGGTTAGGTTACCAATGGTGGGAGGGTAGGGAAACACTGGTTAGGTTGCCAGTGATGGAGGGTTAGGGAAACACTGGGTAGGTTACCAGTGATGGAGGGTTCGGGTACCACTGGTTAAGTTACCAGTGGGGGAGGTTTCGGGAAACACTGGTTGGGGTTGACCAGTGGTGGAGGGTTTGGGAAACACTGGTTCGGTTACCAGTGGTGGAGGGTTAGGGAAACACTGGTTAGGTTACCAGTGATGGAGGGTTAGGGAAACACTGGTTAGGTTACCAGTGGTGGGGGGTTAGGGAAACACTGGTTAGGGTTGGCCAGTGTCAGGAGGTTCGGGAAACACTGGTTGGGGTTGATCAGTGATGGAGGGTTCGGGAAACACTGGTTAGGGTTGGCCAGTGGTGGAGGGTTATGGGGGAAACTGTCCTCTGAAGTGCAAGCCATGCGTAGTGGCATGACGCAGGATGTTTAGTTGTTCAATGCCGCAAAAATTCACGAATATATAATATTATCTGCCGATTAATACAAAAATAATGCACTTACATGAAATGAAAAGTACGCATTGAAAAAGAAAGACTTAATTAAAAAATATAAAAACATTGGAAAGGATTGACATAGTTGAAAAAAACTCACATATTTTTAAGGATATTTTAGTTACATAATTTATTGTTAGAATACTCTCTGGAATTGTATGGATCACATTATGTTCAATTTCAAGGACTTGAAAAAGTTGATAATTTTCATTACATTTGGTGGGTAAAGATGACCACATACTAGCACGTCATCAATGGGAAATTGGAGCTACGGAAAGAAAATTCTTCATGCGCCAATCGGGGTTCAAGCCAGGTCATTGTATATCAACTGATAGAAACAAGAAAAAAAACATGCTTATTCATTTTTTATTTATTTATTGTGAAGCTCTTTGATCTTATGTGGCATTGGATTTGTTATTTGAATCTAAAACATATGGTATATCATATGAATTATTAATTATATTGGTTAGAAAACTATCTATCTAACAGAAAGAAAAGAAATTCATTTAAAAGTGATTTTCTGGCACTGGTGCTAATAAAGCTGGAATCCACAAGGTTTTATTCTTGTCTTTTTGCACACGATACTTGACTTATGAGTTATCTTCCTTTGGCAATTAGACAGAAACCATCACTCTGATCAACGTTCTTTAAGTTACTTGGCTAAAAATTGATTGGTCAACTTTAACCCAAGGAAAGCAAAAGTAACTTAATATCTTTATTACTCTACCGATTTGAAAGGGGATATGGAGTAGAATTCGATTATGCGTTTTTAACTTTAAATTGTCATAGAGATCTGGGCATTCAATGCTAAGGGGAAATGGAGGGAGTATTGAAAAACATATACATAGTTAAAACATCGGTTAATACACATCACAGTGAAATAGAAATGATAGTGAAATTCCAAACTACAAAGTTTCTCGTACAAGTTCGACATTTTTACCATTTCAACTCTTCAACCTACCTCTACATTTTCCTCTTTTTCAAATAATTAAAAATCTTTTACCTCCACATTTAAATCTAAGATAACTTCCGAAATACTATTGTTTTGGCACAGGAAAACTATTATGATACAAACTAAGTTGCATAAATCTGAAAAATCATACAATGCACATCATAGTGGCAAAAAGGGACCTGCATGAGTTTTCCATCTTGAAGTAGGAAGGCCTAGCTACAAAGACTGAGAATAGGCCTTTTCAATTTTCGGTTGCTGCGCGAATTATACGTTTAATCAAAAATGCATTTTTAAGCATTTTATTTTCATTTACTTTTTAATGTCAATTCGTGCCATTTGGTATCAAATGTTTAATTCGATATTTCGTATCCGGGTTTACGTCCGTCTATGTATTCTAATATTAGTTGTCTATCTCCATTTCCTCTCGAGTGACTCCGGAGAAGCTAAAAGATGGTTTGTGATAAATGTAAGGCTGGTCTATCTATTTGTTTAATTTTTACGTTTCCATTTATCTACATGGTTTGTATATACACTCAACAACGGTGTTTATTTCCTGATTGAGGGTTCATGAAACCACAGTTCTCGTGAAACCACCGACGTGCCATTCCGTGGTGGGCCTGAACTTGTGTTTATTTGTTTACTTATTTGTCAGGTTGGGTACAACGGCGAATATGGATATTCATCCTGTTTTTAGTAACAGTTACTCATTTGAGTAACAATTGTATTACAGAAATGTTAGAGTTACGGTCCTTGAAGTCCTCACTCCTGCACAATAAATACACATAGTTGTTTACCCTCTTTTAGCATACCACTAATTTGACTAAAACAATCAACACTGTAGGCCTACTGTACCATATGGGAAAAAAAGTGGCTCTATGACTGCGAAAAACTCTGAAACTCGGAAATGGTGTGTTTTTGGAGGAAACAGATCATGTCTGTGGAAAAAGAATACATATATGAGGTTCTTAAAAGAAAAGTTATCCATCTTTTCAACAGTACTACTATGCTTTTTCTGCTTAGGTTGGGGGGGGGGGGGTAATTTTTTTCGACATTGAAAGCTTTCCATTCTTCTCGTATAGATATCATCATTAGTGATGTCCTTTTTACTTAATTGAACTAACCCTAAAACGTTTGAAATTACTATGAAAACCTTAGTTTAGGTCCAATGGAGTCAATGGAGAACAAAATGAAAGTCAGTGATATGGTTTGTAATTTTCACAGAAAGGTAGACATCAGGATTGATAACTTTTATTGCAGTGGTGGATCCAGAGGTTTTTTGGGGATTCTGGACCCCATCACCCCCCACCCACCATGAGAGTTTTCTTTAAAATCATGTATTTTCACCATTTTCGTCAATTCTTCCCCACTTGGAACCCCGCCCCCCTGGAAATTTGCCCCCCCCCCCGATCCGCCAATGTATTGTACTTTATTGGCTTTAGTTGAAAGATTAGCATCCTTTTTAGCTACAAGTGTTCAAAAGGACTTTGTGTGCTTTTATTTCACTTTATGCCCCATTTCAGTAATAAAATAATTAATTTAAATTGTTACTCAAATAGGAATCATATACCCAAATGAATGATTATTACCCATATGCGCTGTTGTACCCAACCTGCATGTTTATAGTTCATATTTATCATCGCTAACCTCGGTGAATATGATGAATTACATGTATAATATAGAATATCAAGAGTCATGTAATAGACACTGAACAATTGCTTATTATCTCCAGACCACCCAATCCAAAAATAAATGATAAGTTCAGATGAGATGGTTATTTCAGACTATATTATGTTCTCCGTTTAACATATGTATTTAAACAAAAAATGGCGGCACATACTAAAAGTAAGATGTCAGTACATGATACAAAAAGCAGGCTGACTCACTAAGACCTGAAATGGGGCAACAATAACAGTCGAAAATATTACCATATGATACTTTAAAGTGGTCCGCAGCATAATTAGTGCAAAGACCATAATCTTAAATATGAACGTCCACTAACATACAAAAATGCATACATAATTTGTTAAACATTCATTAGATAAATACTAAATCTATTATAAATTATCTAAGTATTAGATTAAGTTTAAATATAAGTAGACTAGATGGGACGACATTTGAATGTTCTAACTTCTGTTGTTTGTACAATTGATTGATTATCACTATTTCCACTGGACATGGGAACCAGTCCCCAGATATTTCAGGCATTGTATGGCCCTGACAATTACAATCCCTCTTAAAAAACATTATTCTTGTTACGAAGTATTTACCAGGTACAATATCCATTGTTTGCTTGTCTAGTAGTTGTTAAAATTTCAATTATCAGATAAAGCCTAGAGTCGTTTCTGCAATATATATGATTTGTTAAATAATTTCATATGGTTTTATATTTGGAAAGGTCAAAAGAAGTTGGGAAAAGTCATCACCCCAGATCCATGGAAAAGTGGAGCAAGAAATACAACAGGTAACATAGATAATGTTGTAGTTGTTTGTCTTCACAACTGCTATTAAGTCTTATGAAGTCTGTGTCCTCTGGTGATGGGTGACCCATCATGGGTCCCACTGTGCAATCTAACTTAAATTTAAGAGTCGAGATCACTTAATGCATTCTACCGTCTCTGGTTTTCTGTGATGTAGGGGTGTAAAATTCCACTAGCAGCACCTGCAATATTTATTATGGACGATGGGTGATGCTCATAGAAGTCTTTCCTGCAGCCGAGTACTCAAAACGTAAAACTATTCATCTCTGGTGTGCTAAGAAACTGAAAATACAGTACTACAGTCTAATTAACCCTGGAAGACAGCCATTCTTTGACAGGTTTTCTTCTCCATAATTACATGCTAACAGATACAGCTGCAAACATATTCAAAGTACAAGTCCAGGGTAAATATAGACTTTGAAAAAACAGTGGTCGGGCACTGCAGTGGTTAACATGCTTTCATCAAGGTGGCATTCGGACCAACAAGAGTGATTAACATAACTTATAATAACTGGTTTTATCACTTCTTCAATAAGATTCATCAGTTTGGAAATATGTTATCAAAGTTTTACTTTCTACAAAAACAATGTCCGTATTAAATATGTCGCAACGTTTCAAGACCAACCGGTACCTATATGCCAAGCTATGACCAAGTGACAGTCATAGCTTGACAAAGGGACCTTTGATATTGTTTCATAATTGTTGTAAAAGAAATAAAGTATACATTTATATATACATATTACATATATATATATATATGGGGCAAAGAAGTAATTCCAACAGTGTGGACAAGTTTAGGTTGTCAAATTTTCGAAGCGATCCGCTCCTTTTTCAAGACACAGTGAAACAGAACAGTTACATGTACATATACATCATATTACAAGAAGATAGAACTGATATACTATAATTGAAAATATAGCTATTATATAAAACCAATAGTCCCCTCGGCTAAAGACAGCTGAAGGCAGCAATTAAGCTGAGAGCATCGCGGACAAGGAACACTGATGTAGAGGACCTATTCTTGCGCAAGATGCACTATCACATAAAGTGAGTCAACGAGAGATATCAAAAAGGTGGAACATGTGCATGTGGAAATCTGGCCCGGTAAATGTGAAAAATCTCAATTTGCTAAGGAATGTCTCATTAGTCGTCTCTCAATTCTGCGGTGGATCTAACAGTCACAGCAGGGGGGCCACACTTAGTCGCCTCTTTTGGTTTGCAGGAATAATGCATGTAATTATCAAATAAGTGAGTGCAGGAGGAATAAGTAGATGAAGATACTGTATAAATCTGCAAAATTAATCTGACAACGACCAACTGTGCAGTAATGCATCATTAGGTCAAATGCAACCTGGAAGGAAACCGAGCGGATGGCAACCGCCTATCGTTCGTTCATACCTCGAGGGTAGCGGGTTTGTAGATTGGCGATCCAATATATATATATATATAGTAGACCTCAAGTATTGCATTTGTCAAAACTTTTCTTAATGGCCTTGTTTGTATACATTAAAATAGACTTACTAATATATAGATAAGCACATGTACACATTTAAACATAGATCTGAGCAAGTTGTGTTCTTTTATTTACAGAAGGAGGCGGCCGTAAAGTGGGTGAAAATAAAGCACTAACAGCGAGGAAAAACAGGTATAAACATCTCTGTTAATGTGACAATAGTTTCATTCTTTTTGAGGCAACAAACTTAAATTAGTTCAGTAAATTTAGTTCTGTTGGTGAGTTACTAATTTTAATACGTACCCATACCTGGTAAATCATACCAATGTGTCGCAGAAAGTTTTCAGCAAAGCTCCCCTGAAATGTATCCATATGCATAATGCACTTGTATGACCTGAGACGTCAGATGAAGACCTGTATGACGTTGCTAATATATTGTCCAGCTTTGGTCATTTTGCATGAACAACACTGTAAACATACATAAAGTAAAAACTTCGATCATGATTATAGTGCTACAGGTGTTTGTAGTACGGTGAACACGTTTACCCTTGAAGTGGCTTGTGAATTGAGTCCCGATACCCAGTTGAAGGATGGCGTTGGTGGTTCAATACCTAGTAACTGCCTTGTTTGTGAAGTGGTTGTACACCCCTACTTATAATCATACAGTAACGCCTCTGAATCCAGTGCTAGTGGACAGCAATTTGTTTTGTCTAGCTTTAATTTACTATACTCCTATAAAATCAGAGGCCGTTGGTCGGCCTTTTTTCTATCAGATATGATTTTGCCGACTGTGACACTGTTGGAGTGGCTTTATTACAGCCTCTTTGCTGTCTTATAAGTTATATTTTGGCTGTCTTTTGAAAAATTCTTCTGAATATAGTCAAATCATTCTACCCAAAAGTGGTTTAACTCATTCACCCCTGAAGACACATTTGAACTCTTTCAATTCAAAAGTTGGAATAGTTCATAATGAAATTTCAGGGGTGAATGAGTTAAACATCAAACTAATTGTAAGAGGGCACAACTTTTTTTGTGTTCTGTTTAGTTTTTTTTTTCAATGATGAATATTAAAACAGAAAAACACTCCATCAAAATCAACCTTGTGGATTTGTTATCAAATGGGTTTTTTGGGTTCAAGAAAACAATGAAAATAACTTATATTTGACCATCTTTGAAGTTTAATAATAACTAGCTGGTATGTGGTATCAAAAATTTAGCAAGACCAACTAATTACAATATAGATTTTGCCAAAATAATCAATAGGAATAATTGCATCAGAAAAATATTGTACCATAAATATAGTTCAAAAAAATTCTGAAGTGGAAGATATTGGACTATTATTTCTGAAATTTATAGTACCTGGTATAGTCATTTCTTTATCAAGAGAAAAGATTTATTTTCAAATATTGATATTTCAAAACTTCTTTTATATTTTTCCAACCATTAAATTGAACAAAATAAAGTAATTAAACTTAATGAAGATTCATTTATAATTTGCAGTGTATACATATTATAACTACTAGTGAATTACTTTAATGCATCAATATGATTGAATTGCCTCGGATTTTTTAAAGCATTTTGTTGTTTTGTAGATTTTCCCCTTATGCTACATTTGAGAAATGTCGTATTTGCAAATCATCAGTTCACCAGACAGGATCACACTATTGCCAGGGTAAGCTGTCTCAAGTGGTTTATTGTTTAGATTTAACAAAACCCTTCCCAGGCTGACCTACATAAATATATATATTGGTAAACCAGATTTGTCATACTACAAATTTGTATTTATTGACGGGTAATACATATTCTTTTCACAAATTAACTCACAATTACACTATCAAAATATTTCATGAGTCAACAGAAGATTTCATGTTCACTGTGTTGGTTTATATTTACTGCTAGGGATCACACTATAGATAATCATAACTGGATGATATAGTAATGGAATTTTGTTAGAGCTTTCTTTTGCATTGTGACAGGTTTATACTGATGGTGGCCAATATGAATTGGAGTTTGAATGAGGACAGATTTGAATTTTAATGAAAATTACTCTCTTTTTTTTGTAGGATGTGCTTATAAGAAAGGTAAGTACAAGATACATGAGAATAAAATTAATAGTTTTTATAAAAATATTATCTAAGATTTCATGATTAATCCCATGGGAAGTAATCAAAACCCAGGCTGTAATTGGAGCGTAATTTCTGATGTTAACTTAACATTTTAGTAACAGGTTATGAAAATAATACAGTGACCCAGATTTTAAAAGAGTGGAATTCTTAGGATGCAAAGCATTCTCTCAGTTCAATATCTAGTTACTTGTTTGAGATATGGTGTATACTTTACATTCTCATTTGTTATTATATTTTTACTGTCACTTCTTTCTAAAGAGGCATAAAATCAATACATATATAATTATGTAAAAACTGTGGAAAGTTTTGTCTATGCATTATTTCTGAAAGCTAAGAAAACTTTAGGCTAAATCTATATCATTTCCTTTAATGTTCATGTCTGTGAGTATATGGTATAATGTAAACGTTTTTCTATAGGTGTCTTCTTAAGAACTGAGAAATTAACAATCCTTATATTTGGCCATGATCAGTAGCTGCCTGGGATGGTTGGCTATAAAGTTGAAACTCTCAAACAGATGACCTTTACCTTCTTTCAAGCTCACAGGGGTCAAATGCAATAAAAAATGTAAAAAACATTGTCCGAAGAATCCTAATTACTAGAGCCATGATAATGATGTCTCCCCATCATGAGAAGGGAGACACATTGTATTAGTACTGGTTCTTCTGGTTTCGTTCTGCATGGTTCTTCTAACATGATCTTGTCTGATCCGTTACTTGTAAACCATTGAAGATATATTGATGAACTATGTGCAGTGCAATGTCATTATGTCAAAGGTCAAATATTTGAATTTTTCAGCACATACTTGTCTGGGCCGTAACTTTAAACCATAAAAAGTATATTGTGATGAAACTTTTAGTATACCTGCATCACACATATAGTCCATGTGCAGTGCACTGTCATTAGGTCATTGTGACCTTGACCTCGAGGTCAAAGGTCAAATATGTGCAATCTTTTTAGGAATATCTTGTCCGGGTCATAACTTTCTCTAGTTGAGTATGTCTCATCTATAGACTAGCAGTGCAAATCTTAAGGAATTTATTGTAATAGAAATTTTATCGTGGTCAAAAATGCTGGCTAAAGTCAAAGGTCAGCAGGGCCTTTATCATTAGAACATCTGCTTAATCTAAACATTATTTAATTTATTTCTTTGATACAAAATCATGAAAATATGATGAGGTATTCAAAAGATAAACGATTCAGAAACAAGTGATAAACACTTATATCAATCTGTTGACTTAAAAATTTTGCACATGACAGCACTGCAAGTATAACTAAACTTTTTTTTCAGGTTGGTAAGCATGGATTACTGTGCAACGTTTCACTGGTCATTTGTCTGATGAAGATGACAGTGTACATATCGTACTAGTCATTGAAACGTCGCATAGGAAATCTTATTGGTTTTGTAAAATTTATTGTTCATAAACTGCAAGTATTACTCTGATATTCTAAGAAGTAAAGTTATGAATTAGAAGGTGTCTTCAGTTTGGTAAGGCTCTGGTTCATGATATATAGGCGGTAGGTATCTGCCTGCATGCATGGGGATGTACTGGACTCAAGTTTCCTTATATGAATGGCCTGATCCTACTTTCATGGTTACATGGGATTTTGTCTCTGTGTCAAAACAAGGAAACAGTTAAGTAAGAAGTCCACTTTATATCTATATCCGTATACATTTTGTAGACATGAAAAAAGAATACACTCATGCTTACATTATTGCCACATGGTAGATGGTCGTGGTTGTTTAATCATTACTTCCAAACAGTTGAGATCCTCGCCCTATCTGTGTGGGCTTGCTGGGCACACAAAGACCAACAAAGGACACTTAATGGGTTTCCCGTTTAATACTATATATCTATTTCACCGATGTTTTCTAACACACTCTTGAAAAATATTCTGCCACACTCCTGAAATATTGATGGATTCAAAGGAAACCATTAAATATCCTCTATGCATTGTCATTCACTGTATGTAAGCATCTCTATCAAATTTGCTATGAAGCATCTTCAGTCCTTGATACATGTGGGAATCAATTGTAAAGGAAGAGTGGGGCTGAGCTGGAAAATGGGTAATTAAGGTGTTTAAGATTTAAAGCCTACTTGTCCTGAACAGTTGATCATAATTTGAACAAGGAAATCAAATGATATATAGAGGAAGTGTAGTGTCCCTCTTACTGCTGAGAGGCAGATCCCAAAAGAGAGAAACATGTTTAACCATGTCTACTGAAACATCCAGGCTTTTCTGGTTCTTTTTATCTCACCAATTATCTCTCTTTACAGGTATCTGTGCAATGTGTGGAAAGAAGATCATAGAGACAAAGAACTATCGTCAAACGTCTGTGTGATAGTGACAATGGAGGTCAGACGTGTTATTTAAAGACAGTGAACTATCGCCAAACGTCTGTGTGATAGTGACAATGGAGGTCTGGCATGTTATTTAAAGACAGTGAACTATCGCCAAACGTCTGTGTGATAGTGACAATGGGGGTCAGACGTGTTATTTAAAGACAGTGAACTATCGCCAAACGTCTGTCTGATAGTGACAATGGAGATCTGACAGGTTCTTTAAAGACAGAAAATTATTGATAGACTTCTGTGTGACCATCGTAATGTTATTATTCAATGAAAAATACCTATAGTCTGATGTCTATAAAGTCTATATGATTTGAGAGTAGCAACAGTCACATTTGTAGCAGTAAAGAACTAGTGCCAGAACTCCAGTGTTATTTCCAAGTCAGATCTGTCAAATATTTAAAGTCCCTTAATTTTGGATGGATTGTGAAACCACCAGGATGTCAGACTTAAGGTTTCTAACAAATGTTTTGTAGAAAATCACATCAGAGAGGGCAATTTGCTGGGGTTTTGTGGTGGAGGATTGGATATATTCGGTTGATACCAATTAAGTTGAGTTAAAAATTGGACGATTAGAAATCGGTTCAGATGATGTCATCCCTCTATTTGAAGGGTGCAAAAGTATATCCTGTTTGTTGCCGTTCAAATTATGTGTAGCATTTTCAAAATCAATGTAAAATCCCACATCGCCAGTAATAATGTTAAAATTACCTATACACGTATTGTGTTTCTGTCTTGTTTCTTTTTATCTCTTTCTTTTAATCATTCTTTCATACTAATCTCATGATACAATGGAAGGCTGCTTTGGAGTACAAGGACTAAAGTACATCTCCTTGCCCAACACCAAATATTTCCTTATAATACTAGTCTATACATCTTACCGTAGTATCTTTTGGCGTATTCAAAGCATGAAATCTCTGGCTTTTGGTCAGCCTAGCATGTCATACGCACCTCTGACTACTATAAACACTCTACTGAGCCTGTTTAGTCTACATACTTAATGTAAGGAAGAATTTGGTAGTGAGCAAGGAGATGCACTTTGACTTTTGTTTTTTAAGTATAAAGGCATTGTGGGATAAGTATGAAACTTTCACAAATTAAATATCATATAATAATGTATATGCCAAGTTTAGTGCTTATCCCAAAATGCCTTTCATTTACAATAAGTACTGTACATAAGCACTTTCTACATTAGCAGCTGTGCTTCATACTGCCATTCTGGATGTTTGAGTTGCTCATTAGTTTCTGTCTTTTTAAATCCAAACTTTTGAGCAGCTAAAGGGATACTCGGTTCTTTTCCTTGGATTACAAATGCTGACTGAAGCCTCTGTGTTTTCATTTTACTTAGTTTTTTTCAATTTTGCATTCTGTCTTTGCGTATTGCAGAGTTATCTTCTCTTGTGAGCAGGTATTGATTGTTATGTCATTAGTTTGTGAGGGTAACGTCATCAATTTTTGAGAAAACGACGTAATTTTCTCACACAAACCAATGACGTAACAATCAATCCCTGCTCACAAGAGAAGATATCTCTGCAATACGCAAAGACGGAATAGCACAATACAATGACGTACACATACACAACTCTCTGGTAGTCACAGATTCCTTACTCTCTACATGCACATCCTTTCATCAACATACATACAACCAGACCGTAATACATGTAACCATATTATACAGTAAAATTGACTGTTGCGTACATCTGTAAAGTAATGAAGAAACAGATTTCCACATTTCTGGTTATTTTATCATTCACTTGAATGTTTGGTCCTCAATATAAATATGTATCAGTAATAAAACATGAAACAAGGTCTCTTTTTAAATTCTCAAAAAGATAACTTCACCTTGGCTGCTGAAGTATGCATTACTTTACTAAATACAGTATATTATTCTGTATATTGTATTTTTTCCAAACAGTATTTCCTTTTTTGAAAAATTCATAAAAGAAAAATTATAATAAATGAAGCATATTCAATAGTTGGTTCACAGTATAGCATTCATAAAATAGTTTTTGTTGCGAAGAATTCTGTGCATCAATCAGTTCAAAATCACCAAAGTGTAACATCGTTCGGTGTTTGAAACACTTTTGTTTGCATTTTAACTTGTTCATGGTTATCTTATTGTGAATGAGATATGCCCATTTTTAAATGTATTTTGTCTCATATTTTATGTTGTAAATAAATATGTCATCCTTATCTCTGGAGCCTTAATTGTCTTTAGCTTACCTGTATAGGGTAAGTGAGCTTATCTCGTGGTGCGGCATTGGTCCGTCTGGCATCAGCCTGTATCTTAAGAACTTCTTCTCTAAAACCAAAAAGCCAAGGAACGTAACATTTGGACAGTAAAACCCTAGGATAGTGTGTTAAAAGGTTTGTTCATGCAAAGCACCTTTACTTACTTTCAGATGGAGTGCTATGAAATGTGGTCTTATAAATGACCTTCGTATACTTCCAAATTTACATGGGTGAAACTGTTCAAAAAAAATCAAAATACTTTATATCATTTCCCCGAAGTTACAATACTTATGGATGATGTGTAGACTAGGCAGCACTAACAAAAATATAATTTATTGTCTTGAGGGGCATATCACGTACCGCTTTGCGGAACTTTTATAGAATGTTTTTCTATGGTAATTTCTGTTTAAAGTATTGGATTCAATATTCGTCAAAAGAGAGCGCAATTTAGATCAAATATGCTCATTTAAGAATACATTCTTTGTTATTGAAATTAAGTAGAAGCTAAGAAAGAGCTATGGCGGATAACTGTCCATATTTCCCTTTTTTTGTTATTTATGAAAACGGAAAAAATATTCATGAGTAAATAAATTCTAGTAGCGAAAATGCATGGAATAGATATAAAACCAACTAGCTGATTTTTCCCTCCCAGTGAAAATAACAACTAGCTGATTTTTTCCCTGTCTTTTTAGGTCACCTGAGACAAAGTATTTTGTCCGGATATGGTGGTTTTATTGTTTTTTGTCACTGAATAATATTTCTGTTCATGTTAAAAACAAAATCAACTCTCTGTATAAATATATCAGGTGACCGTTATGTTACTATCAAGAAAGAGAAAGATCACAATCGGAACATCAAAATAGTAACGCTGATCGAAGCGTAGTTTTAAGGGGTCTCTTTTCATTTTGTTTTGAGTAAAGATTGAGGAAAGTGACTGAGGTAAAAAAAACACTGTAGTGTCCTTAATTTCAAGCCCGGTAGGGTATATGAGATTGACGCTGTCAATTAGATTGTTGTTTAAAGACAGCATATTGTTGATATATTTGAATGTTAAATCGAAAGACTTGAAATTGGCTGAGTTTTTTTTGTCCTGAATGCTTATCAATAAAGCCTCGTATGAAAATTAAAAAAAGTCGGCCAGAGGAGGAGCACAGTTTCTTCCCATAGGAAAAGCCATGTACATCCTTTTCAGTAGGTGTTGTCCCTGTACATATGTATGCATACTATTTCACAATAAAAGACAAACATCCCCTTAAACTTTGGCAAGTGACCATTTCAAGGGCCTGACAAAAACATCAACATTTTAACCACTTTTCTTACTGAACTTGGTAACACTCGCTCCGCTTGGTCTTCATAAAATATAAATACTCTACGTAATAGAATATAACCTGGAATAATACCGAAAACTCATAAAACTGTTCTACGCCTCACTCGATCTGTTTGTCAATAGAAATCATGTCCAATACAGTGGCGGATCCAGAGACCTATCTGGGGGGGTTTCCAAATTTCCTGGGGGGGGTTTCCATGTGGGGAAAAATTGAGGAAAATGGTGAAAATACATGACTTTTTAAAGAAAATTCTCAGGGTGGGGGGGTTTCCTGAAGCCCAAAAAAACCCTCTGGATCCGCCACTGCAATAAATTCTTGCTTTTTACGCTCGGCAGTGCTTGAAATAGTTCAGTATGACATCTTCAGAAGGAAAAAAAAATTGGCAACACCCAACATTAATTCTTGGGTCCCCCCTGATAGTTTGGTTTGGTATTGCTTAACGTCCTATCAACAACTATGGTCATTTAAATGGTCACTACTAATAATTTGATTATACCAAGTATTACAAGATACAAGAAGCTTTAATTTATTTACTGTCGTATATGGCATAACATTGAAACATTAGCTCTGTGGAGCTATTTTTACGACAAACACAAGTATAAAAACAGAGTAATAACAAGGTAAGAAGCATGCTAGTAGAAAAAGTAGGATTAAGCAAAACTTACATAGAAACTACAAAAATAATCAGAAAACTGATGAGTTAAAAAAACAGGAACAGTACTATTTTTTGTTTTTTGCTTCTAATTAATATTAAAGTATGATGTAATTACAATAGGTGTATGGGCAAATATAGCATTACCGGTATAGTTTAAACGTATATCTGATACGAAAATGTACAATATATCAAACTTCTGTTAAGTTGACAAGGTTCGACAAGTTCCGATTTAGCAAACCGGATATTGTTACAGCGCATGCTCATTCAGAAGAGCGCGGAAGTTTTGAAACGTTGTGTTTTGATAGCATTTCGTTCGCAGAAAATTCAACAAAATGCCTGCGAAAAGGAAGAAGGCGACTCCAAAGGGAAAGAAAACAAAAAATAGTGGTAAAATACAACATTTATCCCAATGAAATGTTCATTGTCCGACTTGTAAGAGGCGGTCGTATGAAAATTGAAAGGGTCCTCCGCTTTGAGTTTGAACCAGAGAGCAGAGACTTGAGTTGACACACAATGTTTTGTTCTACTTCTTCTATTTTTCCAAGTAGGCCTTAAACTCTCTTTCTCTCTTATAATGTAGACAACGTGATTTCCAAATACTAAGAAAAAGAGATATAAAGTATTGAAGAAAGTATGTTGTTTTGACTGCTTCGGGAAAGCGCGGGGGGGGGGGGGGGGGGGGGGGGGGCTTCAACTAAATTCATTTTACAAGATTAGATTCACTACTGGTAGGCCTACTAGCTTCAGTAACATGTACACAATAAATTAAAATGTTCAGACGAATCCACGCTCGGAGATCAGAGGAAATTACCATTTGATACACAGGTGCTGGACACACTAATATGATCCGCCTGTACAGTTATATACAGCTAATGATATTTCACCCTGACAAATACAACCAGTGCTTTTTTTACTGCACGGACACAATAAATTGGGAGTTATACGACATGTAACATATGTATATGATATATTAATAGAGAATTATTTTTGATCGCGCTCAAACAACCTCATGTGTAAACAAAACATGAAGCTTGAATTCAATGCCCCAAGATAAACTTATATTTGTCAACAGTTTATAAGAAGGCATACTTTATTTTTTTTACAAGCGATTGGGAAAATATTGGGTCAGAATTGGGAAAACTTCACTTGGGGACAGTACCTAAAGTCGGCACTAAAAATGGGGTAAAAAATCACCGGCAACATACTCAATATTACACCGAAACACAACAAAATACACTTTGACTACAAACACCACAACCACACATGACACCAAGTAGAATCCAGCAAATACTTAGGCTTAACATTACAAAATAACCTACGATGGGACAAACATTAACAACATCACAGCCAATGCCAATAGGTCCCTAGGTTTTCTAAAACGCAACTTAAAAATAAACTCACCACATATAAAAGAACACGCATACAAAGCACTAGTCAGACCAAAACTTGAATACTGCTCTTCCATTTGGAATCCACACAATATGAAGTCACGAACCGAATTAAACAAATAGAAAAAACACAACGAAGAGCAGCACGCTACGTAAACAACCGATACCACAACACCAGCTCAGTAACAGACAAGATCCACGAACTACGATGGCCAACATGTACACTACAAACACGACTCTTTCACACAAGACTGTTCCTTATTTACAAAATTTTACACCAAATCGTAGCTATAAACCAAGCATATATACTCACATCCGTAGACCCTCAAACCAGACATGCACACCCTCGCATATCTGCTACAAAGGACACCTATAGCTACAAATATTCATTCTTTCCACACACAATAACACAATGGAATATCCTTCCCATAGCAGCAGTACAATGCACAACACTAGAGGACTTCAGGGCACATATACCCTATGAATCCCTCATCACACGCTGAAACATATGCCAGCTTTTACCTTTTATCTATACCTTAAAAAAAATAAAAATAAAAAAAATAATCACTTTAAATAACCCCTTTTTCACGCCTCTGTGATAGGACCCCCAAGGGTATAATCGTCATTATTGATGGAGCCCCTGCACCCTAAAGAAGCCATCTGGTCCTAACACCAGAACCACTAACACCAGACTTAGATATTTTGATACATACTGTAGATGTCTGGTGTGGGGCCAGAGCGCACTGCTATATGAAAACGTGGAATTCTCTGACATCATTTGGTATCGGAGAGTTATGAGGTGCTGACAACAAAAATCGACTATGACACAACACATACCTCACATATATCGATAAAAGGATTATTTATTTACCCTCCGTAAACAATAGACTTTCATAAAAGAAATCCGAATATCAATGACATTTTGGGGGAAAAGCATATAAACAAATCTCGGTAAACAAGAGTCGCTTGTTGATCTAGCCCAACCTTTTTTATCACCAACTGCTGCTAAATTTCGTCAGCAGAGTCCTTAATTGGTATTCAATTGTCCCAAGCTTCCCACCTGAGCGACGCAACTTTGTAGGTTATGCTAGGGCTTTCAACGGTTGTCTAAAGCTCCCAGAAACCACAAATGAGGGTTTTTCACCCGCGAAACGGTTGTATACATCCAGTTTTCAAGAATTGTCTTATAAAAAGTATATAGGGGTACCCCTGAATCCAAAATTCAGTGGAAAATAATGTGTCGTATAATAAATGGTACTGATATAACATAGCTTGTAGTTTCAACACTGAAACTAATGATTTGTAATCATTTTAATTAAACATTGATGTTCTTTTCTTCACAGGAAACTCTTCTGGTGCCTCAAGTGAATCAGAAGGCTCAAAAACTTTGGAGATACTGAACAAAATTTCACAGAAGTTTATGGTAATTGTTACTGCAGTTTTAAGAATAACGATGAACTATATATATATCATATATATAAACACTGTCACATAACATGTAGTCAATGACATTGATTTTTCGTAATTACATGTATAAGCAAAGCGAAAGTGCTGATGTACAAAGATTATTAGTCTGAAATCAAATATCTGTTTTGTAACTTATAATACCAAAAAGAATATTTTTTCCATTTTTTTTTTTTTTTAAAGAAACTGGAATATTAACATGTGTTTATTTTTTTTGCAACCATTGATGTAATATGCATGGTTCTTGGAAGTTTTGGTTGATGAAACACTGGCTACACATCCAAAATAATTCATATTGTTTGTGTAACACGCTTTTTCATTCAACATTGGTTTGTATTTACAGTCTTTTAAGTAATTATAGATCGAAAAAATGAGAACATATATATTTTGATGATGTCATACAATAAGTCATTTGCCACAGTTGAATAAGTGTTTGCAAACACATCTTTTGACATTGAAAATTTGAGCTTTGTACTCAGTTTTAGAATAGATGATAAATGGCCTTAAGCTTATTAGCATCATTGTTTTAGAGAGCACATGAAAATGAACCTGTTGAAATCCCCAGCTCGATTAGCCCATGCGCAGGGGATTTACAACGCAGCATTTGATTGATCAACATAACATCATTCATAAAAAAATACTGTTTTTGTTGTATATGAAACATGACACTTATTTTGTGCAAATAATTACCGGTAAGTTACGAGGATAGGACAATATGATAAGGTGCTCTGACAAAGTATAGACTGAAAACTGGTTTCTGACTGTACATCAATAGACCAATTTATTATCTAGTCCAATCCTGAAATACCAATGGACTGTTGGAAATATTTGGTAAGATTCCGTTGATCCAGTAATTTTTAAATATATCGTGTAAACCTGTAGCCTAGATTTTCCCCAGATGTTTCATGTCAGTCATAAATAAACAAGGCCATTGGTGAAAGAGATCATTCACTTGAAGATACAATTCTAAGCATGCAATAGCATAAAGAAATTCTATCTGATCTCTTTATCTTACCATGTATCTTTTAATTTTAGGGTTCATGTCGTCAAAAAAATGGACACAAAAAACAGCCGGTAAGTAATAGATCAAATCATATGCATTTTAGATTGACAAGTCAGCTAGATACTACTGATCATGAATAGATATATACTGTACTGCAAATTAAATTCTTGTCAAGATTGGTATCTGCTAGTACCCAAAACTGCAATGTTTGAATTTTTTCCTAAATGTCATTTGTAATGTTACCATTGGTAAAAGTATGGATAGGGCATGCAAAGGGAGATAACTCCAGTAACCTTATGAAACTAAACTGACTTAATATGTATGTAACAAATCCTGAATATCTAAAACCACACTTCTTGGGATACATAAAATACATATATATGTGTGTTATTCCAATTTATAATCTAGAATATTTACATTTCCACTGCACAGAGCCTAGATGTTTCTACTTGGCCCAATGTCTGTTATTTCCGTATAACATACATTGGACCATTGTGACGTCACTACACTTATGACGTCATAACTTTAACGTTGGAGATTGCACTGCTCCAATGTCAACTGGTGGCTATTCTCTGTATGGATTTACCCTGACGTTGAAATGTGTTCAGACTAATATTATGTCAACATTAAATGTAAATATAAGTATTGGTTGTCATATTTTTGACATGCAATGGTGTGTAACATACATTGGATTACCTACATAGCGCGCACAATTTAAAATATGGAGGTAAGCAAATGGATTTTACACACCAATGCATGTCAAAAATATGACAACCAATCCTTAAGTATTATCTGCTTTGTGTATTTCATAAAACAATGAATTTAAGTTACCTTTTGGTACTTAGAGGTTACCATAAGACCATTTCAATATCCTAATCTGTATTAGCCCAAGGCTCCCATATCAGCCAGAGCGGCTGGAGGCCCTGGTGCTGATAAGTGTCATTTTGGGCTGATACAGAGGGGAATATGTGTATTGTCATATGGTAACCTTTATATTATGTACTGCTCTATAATATAATTAAAATATATAACATTTGATATATCTCAATAACATCAAAATTATTAGCAGTAACAAATAAAACACACAGAAAATCTACATTTCATGAGCTTTAACTATACTCACACTCTTCCTTAAAAAACCAGTGAATAGCAAATACAGGTGGATATGTAGTGCATACAAGTTACAGGTATGAGGTGTGATTTTTATACGCCCGTCAAATTTGACGGGAGTATGTATTATGGTATGGCGTTGTCCGTCCGTCCGTCCGGCGTAAACTTTTGATTGTCCCGCAATCTCCTCCTTCATTTTTCGACCGATCTATTTGAAACTTAGTATACATTATAATCATGATATGAAGTTGTGTCTCCCTTAAAAGAATTTTGATTCAACTATTTTTTCAAAAGTTATTGCCCTTTGTTCATTTCGGTATTTGATTTTTGTCCGGCAATCTCCTCCTACATTTTTCAACGGATGTCTTTGTAACTTGGTGTACTTTATAATCATGATATCAAGTTGTGTCTCCCTTTAAAGAATTTTGATTCGACAATTTTTGCAAAAGTTATTGCTTTTTGTTCATTTCAGTATTTGATTTTCTGTTTGAAGATTTTCTTCTACATTTTTTATAGCATATCAGCTAACCACTCTTAGAATGATGTAGATCTTATTTCAATGTAAGAAAGTATATAACACTATATGGCATTTGACGGGCATACTTTGTTTCGCCACGCGGTACTCTTGTTCTGAAAAGTGTTGAACAGATATGGTGCGTGCTGGGCGGATAGGGATTGGTCCAGGATATGGCAAATACACTTCTAGCAGTATCACACATGTACGCAAAATAATTCGTATCACAGACAAGTATATAATAATGTCATTTATACAAAAGTCTTTAAAAAGTTAAATTACCAATGGTTCAAAACGAAAAATTCAATATTTGATGTCATCCGCCAGAGAGTTGCAGTATTTAGTCTATTACAATCATGCCATTCATTGACCTGGGAAAAGGTCGGTTAACAAGCCTGGTATATCTACTTCTCTTCCACAATTATAAACATGATACAAGGAGGCTACACTTTGGTATAAACTCATTATCTTGGCTTCACCGCTGACGGTCAGAAGTTATGAATCATAGTAATGGTAAATGTTCTCAAGTCTTTCAGGCGAGTCCAAATGTCGGTGATTCTTATTACCAGGGAAAATATGGTTCTTCAAAATGTGGGTGTGTCAAACATAAAAAGCAGGAGGCCAAGGCTGAAATATCTGCTCCAAACCTCACTGATATATATCAAATCAATTTTTTAGGACTCAGATTTATATTTGAGTCCTAGACTCATGCTTTCCTGAGGGACTCGTATACATTTTTTGAGGACCCACTGTATCTCTTAGTAATGGGGACCATCAAAATTTTGAAAACTTGAAATGATGTTCAGGACTGTCCAGAAAAATATTCTACAAAATTCACTACCGTTAAATGCAACCATAATTTGTCATGTGAAATATATTATTGTGTGTCGGATGTCAACGTCCTTTGTGGAATAGTGAAAATTTAAGGTTTTGTTTCATTCCTAGGTCAGTAAATCACAAGTTTGACAATAGCATAAAATTAGATGCAAAAAATGTATATCAACAATTAATGAGATGGAGTTTCTTACAAAAAATTCATGATGGGTTCTATATATAAAAAAAGGAAAGCCCATGAATAGTTGTGTGCCCTTGTACAATTGAGACATTTAGTTGTTGTGTGTTGTAGGCTTCAGAGATTGGACAGGAAAGTCCCTGAATAGTTAGTGTGTGCCCTTGTACAATTAAGATGTTTAGTTGTGTGTTGTAGGCATCAGAGATTGGACAGGAAAGTCCCTGAATAGTTGGTGTGTGCCCTTGTACACTTGAGACATTTAGTTGTTGTGTGTTGTAGGCCTGAGAGATTGGACAGGAAAGTCCCTGAATAGTTAGTGTGGGCCCTTGTACAATTAAGATGTTTAGTTGTTTGTTGTAGGCCTCAGCGATTGGACAGGAAAGTCCCTGAATAGTTGGTGTGTGCCCTTGTACAATTAAGATGTTTAGTTGTGTGTTGTTGGCCTCAGAGATTGGACAGGAAAGTCCCTGAATAGTTGGTGTGTGTCCTTGTACAATTGAGACATTTAGTGGTTGTGTGTTGTAGGCATCAGAGATTGGACAGGAAAGTCCCTGAATAGTTGGTGTGTGTCCTTGTACAATTGAGACATTTAGTTGTTGTGTGTTGTAGGCATCAGAGATTGGACAGGAAAGTCCCTGAATAGTTGTAGTGTGCCCTTGTACAATTGAGATATTTAGTTGTTGTGTGTTGTAGGCATCAGAGATTGGACAGGAAAGTCCCTGAATAGTTGGTGTGTGCCCTTGTACAATTGAGACATTTAGTTGTTGTGTGTTGTAGGCATCAGAGATTGGATATGAAGCTGACGAAGATACCTCCACCACAGGGACATCAGACATGAGTACCCAGTCTCCTGCCCAGGCCAGTCTGTATGACTTTGATGAGCCCGATTATGAAATGCAGATCTCGCCACATCCAGTTAAAAGTACAAAAGCTAAGGCAAAGACCAGTACCACTCGTTCCAAAAAAACGCCCACAGACAAGAAGCAAAGGCCAGTAGAACCAGCTGTCAAGAAAGGAAAGAAATCAAATAAATTGATAAAAGACTCCAGTTCTAATGTAAAACCTGTACAAAATAAATCCAGTGTTTTGAAAAAGACAAATAGTCACAACCAAGAGAATATTTCCACAAACTTAAGATCTGAGGTTAAAAGTCAGAAAACGATGAGTGTGAACGTAAATAGCTTGGTCAGTAACTCTCCCATGTTCAGTAAAACTCCAGTTGTGACCTTACAGAGACTTGATGTGTCCAATGTTGAAGGATACGAGTCATTCCAAAGGCAACTGCGAAAGAGAAAATGCGAAACTCCGAAGGATCAAACAACTCCTCAACTCAAACCTAAGGTACTGAAACAAACACCCATCCTAAAAAATGTGACTTCGTCTAGCAAACGCCAACCGAGGAAAAGAGACAGTGGCGTGCTCATGTCTCCTCCGTCAATTCGCAAGATTCCTGCACCAGCATCTACAGACACATCAACACCAAGTAATGTAGTTTCTCATGGTAAACAGAAGCATTCTGATCACAATCTTTTAAATGAATCCTGCTTTGGTTTTGATACAAGTGTGTCGTTTGGAGCAGACACACCTTTCCAACAGTCCCCCATCAAAAGCAAGGCTTTACCCCCTTTAACCCCTCTATCAGACTATGTTTCCATGGACTCCATGCACATCTCTTGTGAGGATATCTTCCGTCGACAATCAGTGGATAATGATGCTGAGGTGCCCGAGTTGTTCTCCGTGCAGCAGGATGGTAAACAAATCTTATCCTTTGCATATATATCATTTTAATATCAGAATAACCTGTTTATAGAAGTTGATGAATATCCCTTATTCCTACTAATGATAATGCTTCTTAATCTGTTCAGAACTCAACAAGAGCCTACAGATGCCATGTAGCTTTTCAATGGTCATATAAATAATGGAAAGAAAAAAATATCAGCTTTATATTAAGAGATTCTGAATGTTAGAAATTTCTGCTGATAAATTGAATACAAAGGTTTGGTACAGGAAAAGCTCTATAGATATACTGTATATATATTACCTCTTGTTATATTTTTTATTTTCATTTCAGACCTATCATTGAATAGGAGTACCGCTAAGTCCTACAAACTATCTTCAAAGAGAAGGCCCAAAAAAACTGTATCAACCATGAGTAAATCAGCAGTATTAAAGGTATGAAATGATATCTTAATAAACCTCAGCCCTCATAAATGTATTTTGAGTGAATTGGGTATTTATGCTAAACATAGTTGGACATTGTTTGCAAACACCAGCAGCGACTTATCCATTGGCCTGTATCACAATCATGGATCAGCTCATCAGTGATTACAGAGTACTAGGAGCAACAACATCAAAACAATGGTCTTAATGTTTGATTTATAAAAACTCATTCCATATAGAACTTACTATTAAATAACTAATAATGCAAACTTGAAGCAGATTTCAATGAGAAAATGACTACGGAGAATAATGATATTTGCAATATCAAATTTAAATTAATATCTTTGATGAACTTCAAAGTTTACGTCTATGAGAAGAAAAAATCTTTTTTATTAAGTGCCAGTTACATGTATTTTTTTATCACACATTGAATATGCCCATGTTTTTTTTTTAGTATGAACTTGTCTAATATGACCCAATATGACATTAAATTAAATGAAATGATGCCAGACTTCTTGTGAAGTCAGAATGGGGCCAAGTGATAGTCAAGATGACAAAATTTTGGACTTCAGAAATGATTGAAAAAACCTGTTCACATTATTGGGAAAAAATATGATATCGATTTTAAACTTTATTGAATTTCTTGTGAAATAAAAGAAAATTGTCAAACATTTTGCATTAAAGCTTGCCAGTCTTGTTATTTAAAAAAGAAATCTTGTAAGATCATTTCATAAATCCCTTGACAAATGAAATGGAAAGTCTTGCAAGATTCATTGTTTTATATTAAGTAAATAAGTTATGTTCTATAATCAGTTGCAATTTGTATATTTCAGAAATCAAAAGCAGATGATATTGCAGAAAAATTCAACACAGAGTTTGATGAAATTGAAAAGTTTCAACTCAGCATTGAAGAATTGTAACAAGATTCCAGTTGGAGCTACTTTGGCATTGGAAAAAAACCTTGTTTACATTTTTCAAGAGTAGCCATCATTTCTTGGTTTTAAAGTACAAAGTGATGCAACGCACCGCTTTTGTTTTTTTTCTTCTGGTCAACAGTATCCTGGGTCAGGCACCATTTTATGATACTGGCGAGCAGATCAATGTTGTAACTTGAACAGCAATCCGACAACACATGTACTTTGCATACTCATGCTGTCAGGAAAGTATTTATAATTGATGTTATGTACATCAGTGTCATAGATTTATTTACCCAGTAAATGTTGATGAAAAATAGTATATGTACATACTTTGGAGGTAAAATATCAGTATACCAAGCAGAAATATCTGTTTGAAACAACCTGTAAAAATACCACTCAACCAGGTGACTGGTCCCAGCTGTTTCCCTTTATACTACAAATGTATGGTGATTTGATGCTGACGGGTCTGATACTTCTCTTATACTTGAACAGATTTAGTTCCTTCAGTGTGTCTTCACTAAACTTTCGTATCTCTGAATATCTTAAAATTGGTCAATTTAACCTTGTCTTATAAGAAAATGCATTTGAAAAATTGTGACCCCTAGGTAACAATTTAAAATTGGTACAATTTCTATCTAAAATCCACAAATTAAGATTAACAGATGCAGGAATATGGATAATTTACTTTTTAGGTAGTCATAAAAAGAAAGTCTCCTTAAAAAAATGTGTGTTGATATCGTACTGCTGAATTTGCTTGCCTTTTATTACTGTGAACCTAGGGTTTATTTTAAAGATTTTAAATTTCATGGCAACTTCCAATTTATTGAGTTATAGCTACAGTAAGTTTTCTATTAAAACTGATTCAAACCTGTGAGTGAAGTAAAAGAGAAATTATGAATCAATTATCTGTACATTTACAACGTAACAAAATTGATAACAAAGGTTTGTGAGGGTTTAAAAAAAACATTTTGTCTTTGACGTTTCTGTTATACACATGTTGCAAGTTTTAGTGACATTAATCTTGAAATGTGAATTTTTCAGTTTGTAACTAGATTTAGTAAATTTATCATTTATTCGTCACATGGTATTTTTTTTATGTATTGTGAGATATTAAAATATACTTGAAGAGATATTTCTGTAACAGCCAGATATTTTCATTGTAGATTAGATCATCAGGGTAATGCTCAGCCTTAACTGTCTGTTTTAATACAGCATGTACAAAGTGTATACATCTTGGAAATATTAAGTGACTGTTCCTGCAGCTGTATAGAACTAGAATTTTATCATTTGTGACGCTAGGTAATGTTTCTATATGTTTGCAATGTGTTGCCCTACTGCCTTTGGCAGTGCTCTGCAATGGGGGTGGAGTCTGGAGGGTCTTCTCCCCAGGAGAATGCTGAATGTTTGGAATTTGACCAAAGGTATGGAGGCCATGTATGGGACTAGTTAAGGTTTAAAACTAGTCAATAAAGTAATGAATGTATTATGTCCCACATTTTGCAATTTCTAAACACCGTGTTGTGGATAGCTTGAACTCTGAATGTTCAAGATTCTTTCTTTTTTTTCATTTTTCTTTTTATATTATTTTTTAACCACGTGAATGCACCAGGGTGTCCATGGCATATAGGAATCTATGCCACTGAATTAAATCTATGCCACTGAATTAACTATGCTCCTGTTATATGTAGGTATGTTACTGTGGTTTTGACATTGGTAATGTTTTTCCATAATACCTAATCAAGCAGGCAAAGTATTGCATAGAAAATGGAACTTGTATGTACATAGTTTGGATAGAAACTGATGTGAATTCCAATTGTCAGTATTCAGCTTAAAACCCTGTGAGAGATAAAAAAACATCCAAAAGTAACAGAGTTTTTGAGAGGATTGTCAGAGAATACATAGAAACAACTGTAAATGTCATGGATTAAAAAATGAATTTTATAATTGAGGTATGAATTCTTGAGAATTATGAATTAGAATAGAATTTAGGCTCTTTTGCAATAGGTACTGGATCATGATTTTGTGAGAAATTAATAATGAAGACCCAACAGATTGAGGTTATCATTTTAATGAGGGCTAATCCAGTAAACCACAATCACAGGTATAATGTAGGGGTTTACATACCACCCAATTGATTTAATAATTGGCAGGAAACAAAACCATGAATAGAAGTGATTTCGCCCTTTGTTCCAGTAGATTTATTTTACTGAATATAGCCCTTAGCATGATGCTATGGATTTCATTGACATTGATAATCATGTGAACAAAACTTGTCAGTGATTTTCTGAAAGAGTGATTCGAAAACATATCTGAAGTGTATTTGATATCAACCTGTGTACAAAGCCTTCTATGTGGCTCTTTTAGCAAGTTCGTGGACATTTGTAGATGAGGAGATAGTTCCAGTTAAATCTATTTTTTGCTGTCATCCTTTGATACGGGCAGGGGGCATAGAGTGTTACCAATGTCCATCCTGTTAGGAATCGTGGTCATGCTTATACCGACTCCAAATACTTAAGATTTTCATCAGAAATTCTACCAAAGTCAAGTGTGAGAATATCTCGGATGAGTTTGTACTTCATGGTTCCAGGGTCAGTGCCAAGGTGATTCTACCAAAGTCAAGTGTGAGAATATCTCGGATGAGTTTGTATTTCATGGTTCCATGGTCAGTGCCAAGGTGATTCTACAAAAGTCAAGTGTGAGAATATCTCGGATGAGGTTGTATTTCATGGTTCCAGGGTCAGTGCCAAGGTGATTCTACCAAAGTCAAGTGTGAGACTATCTCGGATGAGTTTGTATTTCATGGTTCCATGGTCAGTGCCAAGGTGATTCTACCAAAGTCAGGTGTGAGAATATCTCGGATGAGTTTGTATTTCATGGTTCCAGGGTCAGTGCCAAGGTCACTCTTCCATTTCTTTGATAACTTTGTAGAGATAAGAAAATATTGGTCACATTAAATGGGAATAAAATCATTTTTTTTATTGAACTTAACTCATTTAAAGGTAAATTTTGAAATGTGAAAATAATTTCTGAAGAGACTGCAAAAAAGATCTGTTGATGTATTTTATTTTTTGTTTATCATGGTTTTTCTCTCTCTTTTATATTTGAAAAAGATTAAACCATGATATATGATGATCTAATCAATTTGTATTTTAAGTGTTGATTATCAAATATGTCGAATATGGCTGTAACTTTAAACCATCAAATATATAACGATAAAACTTAAAAGATACCTGCATCATCCACATTAGATGTACTGTAATTAGGTCACCTTGACCTTTACCCAAAGGTCAAATGTGGAAGTTAACAGCAAAATCATGTCCGGGCTGTATTTGGATATTTGTGTAGGCAGATAAGGGGATACATCAACCTGAGTATTTTTGTGTTTTCTTTTTATGTAGAAGTGATCACTCGAAATTGATAACCTGCATGTTGACTTGTGGGTTAATGTACTTTGGGATATTTTTGATGTAGTTATATTTTGGTTCATATGGCGGATGGAGTGAATGAGATAAAATTACTTGCCAAAATTTCATAATGCTAAAAAATAGCTTTACAATATCTGGATATCAGCGGACGGTCTTGGGAATCAACTATTGTGCATCAATTACAAACTCCTATGGGCTATTTTTTTGTAAGCAAAACTGAGAATCACCCCATTTTGAGAAATATCCAAAAGTGCAGTATTTAGAATTTTAGATTTGTTTTCAAAGGAAATTGTCTTTTCTATCCAAGTCTGTATTTATTGTGTAATATATGAAATAAATATTTCTGTTATGATTTGGGTTTTTTTAAGCTTTTTTTTTATTATTTCTATATGCATCACATAGCCATAATTTTATACAGACCAAATCTAAAAATAGTGAAAAAAGTATGCCTCTTTCAGACGGTAATTTTGAAAGGCAGGTCTTAAATACGATTGTCATCTTGAAGTCTGATATTACAGGCAAATGTTCCTCACTAAGCCCCTGTATGTTCAAACAGGATCTCAGATGTCAATGTTCACATATTACATCATGTGTTATTTTTAGCAAACTTGGTCCTAAGGACCAAAGTGCTACCCTGTCGTCCTTCAGTCCGTCTGTCAATTGCTGAACAGAATTTCTGCATATTTGACGGGAAGCTACATTAGATGATGGAGCTTCAAAATAGGACAAATGAAGGGGCTGACCTAACTGGATGCTAAAGTGCCAGACTGGAACGGGGTAACTTAGGTTTACTGATCAAGGCAAAATCTCCTCTGGCACAAACATGTATTGATTGGAAGCATACTCAGGTGGAAAATTCCGTGAAACATTATATAAATATCAATTTAGTATTTGCATCTACATGTATATGATTAAAAGAGTTGGGATCTCAACCATTCATTAGTTGTAACCCTTTTTGGCTCCAATCAATCCAACAGATGAGAGAATTGAAGAGAAATAAAACTTACACAGAAGTAAGGAAGATCTTATGATGATGGGTGTCCAGATCCCTGAGATCCTGAGAATTTGTTTGTATATCAAACTCTGTAAGGAGTTAGGGGCCTGAATTGATGACATTAATACTTCACCTTGTTTAAATCGGGCCTATAAAACTAGATTTTTTTCTGATATTAAACTTCAGAAGGTAGATAATAATTATTGTGGCCATATTATGCAATTCTCATCTAAAGTGAATGTAATTGTGTAAATGCACTGCATAAGGCACAGAATACCATCAGATTAAAAAGTATTATTGCCATTGTAACTGTAACGGGAATAGTGTGCTTCCACCGGGGAACGAACCCTCGATCTCAAGGTTCCTAGTCGGACACTCTTCCACTGAGCTAAAGGGAAATTCCCTCTAGCTAGAAGGCGACATTAATCCTATGTAAAATTGAACCCTGCCACACTACTCCCCCCTTTTTGAATGTGTTTCCCCTCGAACACCACAACCCAGGTTCTAACTCCCTGTCACTACAGAGAGGGCCACGGACACCATTTGTAACAGGAAAGAGAATAGTGTGCTTCCACCGGGGATCGAACCCTCGATCTCCAGGTTCCTAGTCGGACGCTCTACCACTGAGCTAAAGGGGAAATTCCCTCTAGCTCAAAGCTAGAATGCGACCTTAATCCTATGTACAATTGAACCCTGCCACAGAAACTATACAGATATCTTAATACATGTATTAATCTATGATCTTACAGAATTATAGTTGTTTGTAATATCGAATATTTAAAAATTAAATTAAAAAAATATGAGTCAAACTCATGTTCTATCCAATGCCAATCTTGCACTTAACTCCTGTTGCTTTGCATGCACAGCATCAAACAAAATGACAGGTGTTTACGTTGACAAAGGAAATAATTACATCAGAATGGCTCATGTTTGTTGCATCATTGTCAAATGTAAACTTAGAAAGGAAAGATGACTAAGACAGAAAATATGTCCTCACAATAATGAGCAAACTATAAAACATATTTCCCCCGATCATCATGTAAACAAACAGCGTCCAGCTCAGATGTGTTTCTCCTGTATTCTAAGAAAACCCTTTCATTGTCTAAAATTTACATTGAAATATGTGAGTAGGATGACTGCAAGTTAGTTTTAATATGAAAGATTTATATGAAATTTAACTATATGTTCTTAAGGAGACTGACATGTTATACAACCTAGCCTAAATCTATTATATGTCTACTTTTATATCATATTGTCTTTACTTTAGATGATAAAGACAATGATATCCAGATTACTCGTAGAATCATAATGATGTCAGGTGCTTTGATTATAGTATGGTCACTCTAAAAAAAAATGACTTGAGCAAGGCTGTTCCTAGGATACTATCAGCAAGTCCATCGTGTTTAAGTCTGATAAATATTTAACGGTGAGGAGTAATAATCTACTTCTGGCGTGAAAAGATGTCTTTGAAAATTTATGATGATTTATCAAAAAGTAGTATTTTTTACTCACTGAAATCTACCTGGATGCAGTAACTCGTTTATCGTCAAACCGAAACTATAATTGTCTCCCTTGTCAGTCGCTTATAAACTTCCGGACTTTGTAGTAAGGGGAAGGTAACGGGGCATGACGTGTGGAATTTGTGTAAGTGTCTGTACTGTCGGTAAAGCATGACTAGCGGGGATGTTTATCTCGGCCAAATGATACTTCCCTTCTTGTACACGTAAGTACACAATGTACTGAGCTGAAGTCGTTCGCGAGGGTGTCGTCTGTCAACCTTGAATGGTGATCACAATATTACCGTCACCTGACTGTAATGTAGGCCTATTGAAGACTACCGGGGCCGTTTATTTACAATTATGCTGTAGACAGCTACTGCTGTGTTAATTTCAATTCAAACTCGAGCCGTGTATGGTAGAACGAGTATTATTTAAACGGATAACACTGACAGCACTGAGACTAAGGATGGGATTATTCAACAAAGGATTAGATTGAAAAGACCGACAGCTGATTGGGACGGCTCCATTGTCAGAAAATCAAAACATTTCGGTAATATTGGGATTTATTTTATCAGTGTGATTTAAACAGAGATGTAAGACTTTCTGAGGAAAGGAAACTGGCAAAATGTGAACAATGTAAATCATTTTCCTACTAGTTTATTATCATAAACTATTTTACTTATAACAATTTACAGGGAATGTTCAAAATTCTGATTTGATTAAAAATAGTGTCGGAAGAGAATGGAAGGAAGAGGAGTGAGTCGCTCCATGTCAAAGCGGTATGACTTGCTTCAGAGGTTGTTGTTGGTCGGAGAGACGGGTGTTGGCAAAACCTGTCTCCTGTGTCGGTACGCCAACAATGAATTCATGGATACACATATCACTACTATTGGTAAGTAATTCATCAAAAGTTACTATATTGATTTTAATAACAGCCCAGGCTTTCTTAGATAACAATAACAAAATTGACAGTGAAGAAGGGCGTCTGAAGGTTTAATTATAAACGGAATCAATTCTGTGCTGTAGAATATTGATATTGTAAATGTAAGAATTAATTTAATGCAGTAGGATTGCTTGATAACAGTGTAGAAGATAATTATTGTAGTATAAAATAATGTGTAATGTTTCTACGTATGATTTAAAACCTATAAATTAAATTGTTAACAGTGAGAGAAAATATAAATCTGTTGAAAGATTAATGTACATCACTAATTGACATTATAGCAGTATCGAAGCTTTGAAAAAACAGTGACAGTCTGACCTATTTTGTAAGAATGAGTTTTGTTTATCAGACCAGGACACACACTGACCCTATCTATTAATACTTCAACCTATAGCCTGAACCATCAATTTAAGAATTGTGCTTCAAGCATTTTAGAAGATAGGTTGACATGTCATTGTTGGGTCAAACAATTTCAGGTGTGGTCACTGTGTAGCTAGCTAGTAGTCCCACCAGTCATTCAGACAAGTACTAGTGTAAGCAGACAAAACAAAACATTTGTTGTTGTGTCTCGCAACAAAAATTGAACAATATACCACGTTTATCACATTTCACAGAGGCTGGTTAGCTTAACACAAGCTTGAAAATATTTTCCCATGAAATGTTAATTTGTTTTCAGCTTATTAAGGAATAATTGCATGCTTTGTTTTGAGAACTGACAAGAGCACTGTAAAACAGTATAAAAAAAATCAATGATATTCTGAAATATATTTCAGATTTATGCAATAATAGGTTCAAGCTAACAAATACAATGCTTTTTGAAATATTTTTGAGCAGATGTTTAAAATAAATTAATGTTGTTACTTAAACTCTTTACAATAAAAGACAGGGATGTAAGATTTGCTGAGTAGAACACTTTACTGATAATCCTGTGGTTTTGACAGATTAATCACAGACATCTTATCAGTATGTCTGCTGAATATATACCTGTGGTTCATTAGCCACCTCACCTGGGACTAGTGTCTGACCTCTAGTTCATTGGCCATGAATGCCTGTTACAGTGACCTGTATTATACAAAGATCCTAGCTGCAGGCACAGGGAAATGGGCCTCCCTGACTCAATTAGAGTAAGTTGTGTCCAGTCTTACACCATTCTGATTACTGCAGTAACTACTGGCCAGTACATGCGTAGTGATTAAGGAATTTTAAGTCCCAATAAATACAGCATGTACAATTTACTGTCTAATATATCATTAAAAAGAAACACAAGATCAATATCAACCGATAGAGTTGACACTGGGTCTGTACTAAAGATCGCCAGGTACCAGTATTAATGATTTTATCTGATAGGTACTGACTGTACTAGCTAGGTCTGTGTGTATCAACTATCACCACCAACTAAAAGTTACTCTATATGTTTAGAGCCTAGGGAATTCACAAAAATGATATTGGATTCATGTTTAAAATGACACAAATATATCTTTGTGTTTAAAATTCTGTTATGTATAGGGGGAGGGGAGTCATATTTGGTAGGTGTTTAACACAGCTGTAATTGATTTACAGTTATATAGAAGTAGGATTTAGATAATATAACTTTATCTTTAAATGTTTCAAAATAATGAAAGGTAAGAAAGTTTAGAAGTGTGTTACTATTATAGATTAAAATGTTACAAATGTCACTGGTCGTTTTAAAGTAAATTACCAATTGATGTCTCTGCTCAATAATAAAGTTTGTAGCGAACAGGTGACTGAAATGGACACCACTACAACACATTATTTCAGTAATATGCATTTCACACATACTGTAGAAATTCCTGATTAATACCAACATTCTGTATGAGGCAGCCATGCATTGCAATTTCAGTTAGAAAAATTTGTTTATATAAAAAAGAAAAAAATGTCCAAATCCTTTGCTAATTGTGCCAAAATGCTACAGAAAACATTCTGTTGAAATGTTGTGATTATCATATTGTATTTGTCCTGCAATTAGCCTAATGTCTGGTAATAAGCTCACTATGTACATTAAAGATAAGTAAAATGTCAACAAAACCTTTTTCATTGTCCTGTAATAAGCCCATCTCTCTACTTTGAGACAGAGATAATGTGTAGGTATGCAGAAATCATCGCAGGAAAAAATTGTTACCATCAGCAAAGTTCAGAGTAATTAGACCTATGACCTTCACATGTTAGTAGGTACATGGTCTATATAAACAGTACATGTACTCGGGGTTTATCTCTCTCAGTGATCAAAGCTGTAAAATAAAAAAAACATTTTGAATTCGTGCCAAAAATAATGTTCAGGGGTACATGTACCAACTATAATGGTATCAAAATATAAATTTACAGTACATATGTTAACTGTGATGTAGATAATACAGTTTATTTATAAATGTGTACACACGATATCAGTATGCTGTTTATCACTTTGTTTCCTAAGTTTACAGTTCAACAAAATACACATAACACACAGGCACATCTGTTAAATAGCCTTAGTTGTTGATACGGTAAATACTTGTAAAATTGCTGTGAATGAAATGCATATGAATTATTTCATTGTTATAGATGTACCGTATCACTACTCATTTATGTTTATAAGGATGGATCATTTCAAAGTCAGAAATGTTAAGATCAGTATTATAATAAGTACCTGGTAAATTATATATTCCAATTGCCTATTTGATGACTTGTTTCGATTATACTGTAGTAATATTCCTATAAATGCCCAACATTTCCTATTTTCAAATGTAAAAATGTGATAATTTATAATTCTAGGAAGCTGTGATATAACTGAAGCACATCATTGGCAACCTTTAATGATATATCTGTGTGTTAACTTACGATACATCTTTGACAACCTTTAAAGATAATTTATATCTCCGTGTCTTACTGAAGATGCTGTCATTATGTTTAATCATCTAATTGCTTGTCACTGACTTGACAAGAGGGAAATTCGGCTGAACACTTGACTGTGTAGTCCTGGGTTGTACTACTTCTAGGCCTTTTGATTGGAGGCACTTTAAACAACGTGATCCCTGACAGTTACATACAGATCTAGCTATTGGTACTTTACACAAAGTAATGCTAGTTACACAGATTCCAGGAAAATGTCTTTTAAAAGGGAGTGATTATCGTATGTTTTGATTTATGCATATAGTTGTTGGTATACTCAGGGGTCAGATGAGACAATTTTCAAGTCTTATTAACTAACTCATTCACCCCTGAAATTTTGTAATGAACTATTCCAACCTTTGAATTGGAGGAGTTCAAATGTGTCTTCAGGGATGAATGAGTTAAGGACCTCTGTACAACTGCAGGCAAGACATGGAGAATTGCATTTCTGTTTTCATATATATATATAGAGTAACCTCCCCTTTATATTTGTTTTATGATAACCATAGTGCATTTTGGTCAAGAGACTTAGCTCCATTGGTTAGAGCAACAGTGTAATATATAAATCAATTTGAAGTCCAGGGATTTTCTTTTAAGAAATGATTTATCAAAGCTATAGTCATTCCAGAAAAAATCTGTTTCTAATGCATGGTTACCTTTTATGGCAGTGGCTCAGGACTCCTTAAGTGTACTTCTGTACCCATGTACTGTGTATAGAGATGTTGGAATACTCAGGGTTCAGATTAGACAGGTTTCAGTCTGTAAACATAGTCCTGTACCCATGTACCTGTATATAGCATTACTTTGTGTAAAGTACCAATAGCTAGATCTGTATGTAACTGTCAGGGATCACGCTGTTGGAATACTCAGGGTTCAGATTAGACAGGTTTCAGTCTGTAAACATAGTCCTGTACCCATGTACCTGTGTATAGAGATGTTGGAATACTCAGGGTTCAGATTAGACAGGTTTCAGTCTATAAACATAGTCCTGTATCTATGTACTGTGTATAGAGATGTTGGAATACTCAGGGTTAGGATAAGACAGGTTTAGTCTATAAACATAGTCCTGTACCCATGTACTGTGCATGCACTGTTCCTAATATTTTATTAAATTTAACTTTTGATTACCCAGGTCAAAGAAGTACAGTTGTCTGTATAAAAAGATTCAGGATGACTGTCTGACTGATTGTATAACAGATTAGAGAGGAGTGTTTGATGTCCTAAGTACAATTTCCTGTCTTCCTGAGGTGTAATGTTTCCTTTGAAGAATGGTTCATGCTCATTCAAACTTTACAGAAGATATCATAAATACAATACAATATAATAAAGTCCATGGAAATCATATTAAGTATGGACAATTACTGTGCATGTATGTCTGTGCTAATTATATAAGGGGCCAGATATATTCCTAACAGAATAGTCAGTGTCTTGAAAAGAAATATATTGATGAAAGATTTAGTGTTCTCTAGAAAAGTAAGGAATTCCCTTCATATTTTTTTTTTTTTTTTAAATTAAGAAGAAATTCTTGAAATAATAAGGAGTTTTCGGGACTTTTACTACAATTTCTAGAAAAATAAAACGAAAAAGAAATTGACGAGCTGACTGTCATCAGCAGAAATCATAGGAATTTAATATTGAATTTATTGTTTTAATCTGTATTGTTTCCATTAAGAAATTTAATATTGAATCTATTATTTTAGTCTGTGTTGTTTCCATTAAGAAATTTAATATTGAATTTATTATTTTAATCTGTATTATTTCCATTAAGGAAAAGGGTACCACTGAATCCATTACAATCACCATTCAATTCAAAGTTGTTTTGACTGTATGGCAATATTAATAAAGTGCACTGGCTTTGTAATGTAAAGGTCCAGTACAGTTTGACCTCTGTAGTTTTCTATTTTTCTTTTTGATTAATTCTATTTTCATATATATTCAAATTTCAAACAACTGCAATTCTGTAAAACGCAATTTTTATGGAATTTTCTTTTGAAAAGGTCTTAACCCTAGCACCACTATAGACCAAAATAGACTCATCCAGATCAATGCAATTTGGTAGAGTTAAATAGGGGTGAAAGGGTTTAACAAAAACTTTATCCTTTATTAGCTTCTCAATATCTGAAGTTGTGAATGCAATATTGGATTAGTTTTTAACACATCTACTTCATTTTATTGTCCCAGGATAGCAAAGTCCTCTATCACTGAAAGTAAAAACGTATGTCCTCAAATTATTTGTTTGAAAAGTATGTCCAATTAAAATTTGATTGTAATTAAACTAATAAAGTATGATTTCGTACTGCTGAAGTAATTAGAACTACTTGTCTGCCCTCTGGTTGTAAAATCTATGAATCTGAAATTTATCATCTATCTGTGTAGATTTAGGGATAAGTACTATAAAGGAATGTGGGGATTTAAATGGGCTTAGGAGAAAATTAAACCGTTCATGAATGTATCAGATATCATGAAAATTGAAACTGGAGTCGGGATAGGCTACAATGAATATAATAAACAGTAAATGTATACTCATCCCTTTTATAAATTGTTGTGGTTTAAATGAATTTTGCTGAAAATTACAAATATTCAATGACATATATATATGTATAAAAAAGCAGTGTATATATTTATCATACAATTGCATGCATACAGAGAAGCACATGATAAAGGGTACAAGATACAAGAAGATTTTAGGGTGCTATTCTGTAACATTAGATATTATTACTAGGTGTAGTACCATCACAGGAAGTCTTAATTGAAATCAATATCTGTGTCTCGGTCCAGGGGAGCAGTGTTAACTTGTACAGAATGATATGATGTGTATACAAAAATGTACATCCAGCTTCGGTTTTGTAATCTTGCACAAATATTGAATTAAGCTTTATTTATATTTCCCTCTATGATAAAATTATTCTGAAGCAGAATTCTTGTCTGGTCAACTAATTGGACTTTGTCCAGGTTTCTATAATAAATTCCTATCAGATATCTAGGTTTGCATTTATATCTGGAATATTGATTCCATGAATTTTTCATGATTCGAGTAAACATACAATTATAGCACTGTGATGACATTTAATTGTTTAGCATTTGTTAGCAGTGCCGACCTCCAGTTCCCTCACCCCTTTGCAAGGTTTGGGGAATAATCTCACCATTTCCATTGCCTGGATCAACCTTTGGCGTACCTTTTTTCCAGTGACAAAGTATCTCGTAGAACTTTGTAATATACAGGTACAATGCAATAACAATAAAGACTGTAATTCGCTGAAGTGAAGGTGGATTGTATATTGTAAAGTGAAGGTTGATGAACTATGGTAAAGTAAAGGTGGATTGGCTATGGTAAAGTGAAGGTGGTTTGACGATGGTAAAGTGAAGGTGGATTGGCTATGGTAAAGTGAAGGTGGATTGGCTGGTAAAGTGAAGGTTGATTGGCTATGGTAAAGTGAAGGTGGATGGACTATGGTAAAGTGAAGGTTGATGAACTATGGTAAAGTAAAGGTGGGTTGGCTATGGTAGAGTGAAGGTGGATTGACTGGCAAAGTGAAGGTGGATGGACTATGATAAAGTGAAGGTGAATTGACAATGGTAAAGTGCAGGTGGATGGACTGGTGAAGGTGGATGGACTCTGGTCAAGTGAAGGTGATTTGGCTATGGGAAAGTGAAGGTGGATGGACAATGTTAAAGTGAAGGTGGATTGGCTGGTAAAGTGAAGGCGATTTGGCTATGGTAAAGAGAAGGTGGATTGACGATGGTACAGTGAAGGTGGATTGACGATGGTACAGTGAAGGTGGATTGACGATGGTAAAGTGAAGGCGATTTGGCTATGGTAAAGAGAAGGTGGATTGACGATGGTACAGTGAAGGTGGATTGACGATGGTACAGTGAAGGTGGATTGACTGGTAAAGGGAAGGGGGATGGACTATGGGAAAGTGAAGGTGATTGACTGGTAAAGAGAAGGTGGATTGACGATGGTACAGTGAAGGTGGATTGACTGGTAAAGAGAAGGTGGATTGACGATGGTAAAGTGAAGGTGATTTGGCTATGGTAAAGTGAAGGTGGATTGACTGGTAAAGTGAAGGTGGATTGACTGGTAAAGTGAAGGTGGATGGACTATGGTAAAGTGAAGGTGATTTGGCTATGGTAAAGTGAAGGTGGATTGGCTATGGTAAAGTGAAGGTGGATTGGCTATAGTAAAGTGAAGGTGGATTGGCTATGGTAAAGTGAAGGTGATTGACTGGTAAAGTGAAGGTGGATGGACTATGGTAAAGTGAAGGTGATTTGGCTTTGGTAAAGTGAAGGTGGATTGGCTATGGTAAAGTGAAGGTGGATTGGCTATAGTAAAGTGAAGGTGGATTGGCTATGGTAAAGTGAAGGTGGATGGACTGGTGAAGGTGGATGGACTATGGTAAAGTGATGGTGGATGGACTATGGTAAAGTGAAGGTGGATTGCCTGGTAAAGTGAAGGTGGAGGTGGATTGACGATGTGAAGGTGATTTGGCTATGGTAAAGTGAAGGTGGATGGACTGGTGAAGGTGGATGGACTATGGTAAAGTGAAGGTGGATTGGCTATAGTAAAGTGAAGGTGGATTGGCTATGGTAAAGTGAAGGTGGATGGACTATGATAAAGTGAAGGTGAATTGACAATGGTAAAGTGAAGGTGGATTGGCTATGGTGAAGGTGGATTGGCTATGGTAAAGTGAAGGTGGATTGGCTATGGTAAAGTGAAGGTGGATTGGCTATGGTAAAGTGAAGGTGGATGGACTTTGGTAAAATGAAGGTGGATGGACTATGGTAAAGTGAAGGTGGATTGGCTATGGTAAAGTGAAAGTGAATTGGCTATGGTAAAGTGAAGGTGGATGGACTATGGTAAAGTGAAGGTGATTTGGCTATGGTAAAGTGAAGGTGGATTGGCTATGGTAAAGTGAAGGTGGGTTGGCTATGGTAAAGTGAAGGTGGATTGACTGGTGAAGGTGGATGGACTATGGTAAAGTGAAGGTGATTTGGCTATGGTAAAGTGAAGGTGGATTGGCTATGGTAAAGTGAAGGTGGGTTGGCTATGGTAAAGTGAAGGTGGATTGACTGGGGAAGGTGGATGGACTATGGTAAAGTGAAGGTGGATTGACAATGATAAAGTGAAGGTGGATTGGCTATGGTAAAGTGAAAGTGGATTGGCTATGGTAAAGTGAAGGTGGATGGACTTTGGTAAAATGAAGGTGGATGGACTATGGTAAAGTGAAGGGGGTTTGGCTATGGTAAAGTGAAGGTGGTTTGGCTATGGTAAAGTGAAGGTGAATTGACAATGGTAAAGTGAAGGTGGATTGGCTATGGTAAAGTGAAGGTGGTTTGACTATGGTAAAGTGAAGGTGGATTGCCTGGTAAAGTGAAGGTGGCTGGACTATGGTAAAGTGAAGGTGGATTGACGATGGTAAAGTGAAGGTGGTTTGGCTATGGTAAAGTGAAGGTGGATTGTATATTGTAAAGTGAAGGTGGAATGACGATCTTAAGGTAGATGAACTGAGTATTCCTCTTTTGAATATACTTTACCTCGTCAGATTGATTCTGGATTCAAGGGTGGAAATACAGTGTTATTTGAATAAATTTAGATCTGTATTTATAGATCAAATACCTATAAGTATAATAGTACTCATAAACATTTGTACACTTAATCCTCAACTTCATTTCTATGAATTTGTCTCATGTGTGGTTGCCTATTTATTCCTGTTTTCAGCAATTTTCTGCTTCAACGTGAATTGGGTAACTTTTGTCGGGTATTGATGAAAATCTGTACATGAACATCACGCATACCAGCTAGAGAGTGTGTATCCTAGTCTATGTACACATAGCTCTGTAGGTATTAACATAAAGGATATATTGTGTACTGAGGGATCACAGGTTCACCGAAATCTAATTCGGTGATGATAAATGATGCAGAAACTTTATAACAATGGCATCTTTCTCTTTTATGCGGATTGATTAATGTAAAGGTGAGTTTAGAGGTGAGCTGATTTCACCTGCGGCGTACATATATATGTACCTGTGTTTACCTGTGGTAGGATCACAGTATCAGGTATATAATATCAAACAAACATTTATTTGTTTGTTATAAGGTATTTATCTTTTAATCACCATCGCTAAATTAAACACCTATCAAAATAACTCTTAAAAGCATATTGTAAATTAATTAATTATTAAACTGTTTAAATAATTCATCTAGAATAACAGATGGTTTCTATCACTTTCCTGTTAATTCATACCTAGACAACATTTAATCATTTGATTTTAGATAGATCCCTTGATAATTTAAGTATTAATTTAGTAATTTAATTAAATTCAGAATTTTGACACGAGTCAGATTGATAAAATGTCAAACTTGTAAGTGTAGAACTTTAAAAAAATTGTAGGAATTGAATTGAATTTAATCTTCAATTTTATGGATAGAATTCAATAAAATTATGCAATCAAAATTTAGAGTAAGTATTGTTTATGATAATTTTTTATTATAAAGTCTTTTTAACTTGCAGTAACCACAGGTACTAGCCTCGTCTGTCAATACACTTCTAGTATAATCATTATATTATAGGTGTATTGACAGACGAGGCTAGTACATGTGCAGTAACTTATCTCTTTTATCTTGGAAGCATGAATGCAAATTAAAGTTTAAAATGATGAAAGTTTCAGGATATTACAGTGTTTATATTGACAACACAACAATGATACGATGTGTGTCAGATTTAAATTGTACATAAGATTACAGTCAACTTCTAGCTTCACGCTAGATGGACTTACACTTTAGCTCAGTGGTAGAGCATCCGACTAGGAAGTTGAGGATCACGGATTTGATCCCTAGTGGAAGCACACTTCTCTCTTTCCTGTTACAAATGGTGTCTGTGGCCCTTCCTGTGGTGGTCGGTAGTTATAGAACCTGGGTTGTGGTGTTCGACTCAAGGCAGACACATTTGCAAAGTTTTGATTAGTGTGGCATATTTAAATTGTACGTGAAACGTTTATAAACATAAAGTTTCATTAACTTTGCATTTTGAACAAAATACAGCAGAAAGGCAAAGAAAACTAAAATATGAGAATTGAACCGATCAAATTAATCAAAGGGAGATACTCATGTTGTTTTTCCTTGTGTTTTGACAGGTGTGGACTTTAAACTGAGGCGAGTGGAGGTGGATAACAAGGTGGTCAAGGCACAGATCTGGTGAGTAAAGATCAGGGACATGGTACAGAGAAAGCCAGTCTGGTCAGGATCACATGGTACACATATACCAGGTCAGGTCAGGGTCGCATGGTACACATATACCAGGTCAGGTCAGGGTCACATGGTACACATATACCAGGTCACGTCAGGGTCGCATGGTACACATATACCAGGTCAGGTCAGGGTCCCATGGTACACATAAACCAGGTCAGGTCAGGGTCGCATAGTACACATATACCAGGTCAGGTCAGGGTCACATGGTACACATATACCAGGTCAGGTCAGGGTCACATGGTACACATAAACCAGGTCAGGTCAGGGTCGCATAGTACACATATACCAGGTCAGGTCAGGGTCACATGGTACAGAGATAGCCAGTCAGGTCAGGGTCACATGTTACACATAGACCAGGTCAGGTCAGGGTCACATTTTACAGAGATAGCCAGTCAGGTCAAGGTCACATGGTACAGATTAAGTGAACAGATCAAAGTAAAATGGTACAGATATAGCTAAGACAGTTAATGTTCATAGCTTCTTAAGAATAGCAACTAAGATATTGTCCTCCATCAGGAAGTTGTTCTTTGAGGTGCACTATGTTCCTTTGTGTATGTTGATTTGTTTTGATTTTTTCGTTCAGGGACACGGCTGGACAGGAACGATTTGAGTCGATCACAAAACAGTTTTACAGACGAGCACAGGTAAGGAAAACAGTTTTACAGATGAGCATAGGTAAGGAAAACAGTTTTACAGATAAGCACAGGTAAGATGAACAGTTTACAGTCGAGCACAGGTAAGGAAAACAGTTTTACAGATGAGCACAGGTAAGACAAAAAGTTTTACAGACAAGCACAGGTAAGACAAAAAGTTTTACAGATGAGCACAGGTAGGGAAACAGTTTTACAGATGAGCGCAGGTAAGACAAACAGTTTTACAGATGAGCACAGGTAAGACAAAAAGTTTTACAGATGAGCACAGGTAAGGTAAACAGTTTTACAGATGAGCACAGGTAAGATGAACAGTTTACAGTCGAGCACAGGTAAGGAAAACAGTTTTACAGATGAGCACAGGTAAGATGAACAGTTTTACAGACGAGCACAGGTAAGACAAAAAGTTTTACAGATGAGCACAGGTAAGGAAAACAGTTTTACAGATGAGCACAGGTAAGATGAACAGTTTTACAGTCGAGCACAGATAAGACAAACTGATAATACAGTAACAGCCACTCTGCTAACAATTGAAATTAAATATGCTTTCAGATATTGAGATTAATGAATATATCAGTAGGGATTGACACAATGAAACCTGTAAATGAAAAGACAATATTAATTAAGAGCCTCTTAAAGATTAACACAACTTTCTAATAACAGAAGTACTGATGTGAGTCATTATGTTCTTTAAATGAATTATAGTACATGTAATATTAGCCAATGTAAAGAGCTTATGTTTTGGTGCTTCTCCCGTTGTTTGCCTGACATAGGTCCATCGTTCATTCACCTGTCATTTGCTGTTCATATTAAACAACCTCCACAACTTCAAAGCAAACAACCACATTTTGATGGTAGAATGCATAGGGCATGGGGATCCAAAGGTTTACAAAAACATGGCTAACCTTTCCCGACAGAGGGAAAAGGTCAAATAGGGTTATGTTGGTGATTTGTTTGTTGTGTCATTTCCTCCCAAACTGCTAGACATATTTCAACCAAATTGTGGTGGTAGCACCTTTTGCCCCAACCTCGAAACTCAAGGTGTTACACTCTCTAACAGAGTGGGGGGTAGAAAATATAAGTAAGCATAACCCAAGGAATTTTGAGGTTGCCTTTGTGCATGGGGACCAAATCAAAGTTATACAAACAGCGGTGCTGACCAATGTTGGGGGTGAGAAAATGAGTCAAATTAGATCTTATTTGCTGGTAGGTTCTGATTGTCATTTCCCAAACTATTCTCCTGGTTTCACCAATAGTAGTAGCATTGGTATTAATGTATGATGAGACTGACCATTCCTGGACAGAGAGGCAGGGTCAAAAGGAGTCAAATTCATTATTAACTGATTTTTTTTCGGAGTCATCTTCACCCATTACCAATCTGATTAAAATACAGATCTTCATTGTATAACTACGTCCGAGTAGTGTATAATGGATCATATATGATACACTACTTTCAGACATACTTGTATAATGAAAATCTGTATTTTACTGAGATTGGTTCCTGCGGGCTATCCTCCGAAACTATGTGGTGGATTTTAAATTTACTTCTAAAATAGCCAGGTGAGTTATTCTATCAAAAGGCCACCGATCATGTACTGGATATCTGATGTACAAAGCAGAGATACTAATGACATATCTTTTATTTACAGGGAATCCTTCTAGTATATGATATAACAAATCGACGGTCTTATGATGCGGTACCAAAATGGCTATCATATATCCATCAGGTAAAAATAATATACAGTTTTGTGATAACACATCAATTTGTACTGTGTAGAATTCCCTATTCCAGCATTGTATATTTAATAGGCCCTCTTTAAAAGGGCAATTTTGCTAAAGAGTTACAAATTTGTAAATTGCATTTTATGAAATTACACAGCAGTGAGCGGTGAATTCCTCCAATATTACCTGTTTTACCACCTTCCTCTCACAGAGTATAGTTTAACATTGCCAAGCAGGGATTGACCTGATATATAAAACTGGGGTCCTTCATACCCTTAACTGACTCTTCATAGTTGTAACTATTGGCCCCAGTGGATTTTCTTATACTTACTTGCTTAGAGAATATTTATCTCCTGATAATTCTGATCTATATACTGCGTTAATTTTCAAGTATAACTTGAGACCCTTTATTTTCTTACTTTTTGCCTTCCTTTCTTATTGTTACACCTCAAGTGAATTTCTAGCTATTTGATTGGTTGGGAGAAAATTAAACAAAAATCTCTGTCACCCTCCAAAAATACATTGGTTTTAAGGGGCGCGGATGATATTGCAATGAGACAGTGAAAAATATCACATGCGCGAAAAGTGTGCATTCACCGATTCGTTTCCCCACCGTGATGGTCACAAGAACGTTTGACGGCAACAGCCAATTTTATCAAGCTTCGATGCGATAGCGATTGTAAACAGCAGACTATCAACAAACAAGATGTCATTATCGAGGTTTGCTGCCGTTTCTGAGCTACAAAGACTTTTGGTGTAACAAAATAGATATGACATTCATATATTAGTAGTTGAAGCTGAATTGGGTCCCAGAGATGCTCATGATAGTAAAGGGAGATAATCCCCTGTCCATTTAGCCTTCATGACTTATCATTTAGTATTTAATTGGGTCCAAGGGATGCTAAGACTGTAAAGGGAGATAATCCCAAGTTCAACAAGAACTCTACACAACTGTGTTGGAGGGGTGCATGGAGTCAGTAAAGGGAACCTCTGATCTAAGTGTAAGGAGAGGGAAGTAAATTTGTATTCTGTGTTAAAAGCTAATGTCCTATAAAATATTATGTCTAAGATATGATATTATTTTTTACTTAGTTTGCAAATGAAGATGTACAGATAATGCTGCTGGGTAACAAGAGTGACCAACATTTGAGACGGATGGTTACAACGAGAGAGGCGACTAAGGTAAGGGCTGCTCCATCAGTGCATCGCCAGATCTTACCTTGTATTAATCATTAATTGACAAGTAGTTTTTTGGGGGATTAGTTGTAAAAGTTTGGTCTTTTCCTTTAGACAATTTAACTTTCATAATTTTTTCCCAAAATCACAGAAATCCCACATTGAAAAAGGAGTTACAAAATCAGATAACTGTCATGACTGCTTCTATTTCATCACAAATCTACTTTTAATTTTTATATACATTGATAAACATGCTGTGTAAGGTGGGTTGTCTTGTTGTTTGGAAATACTTGTTTCTTCATCTTTTGAAATACTTGTTTCTTCGTCTTTTGAAATACTTGTTTCTTCGTCTTTTGAAATACTTGTTTCTTCGTCTTTTGAAATTGTCACAATATGTTCAAAAGTGAAAAGGCATATGTACACCAGTCCCCCTGTGGAAAGAAAAAGATAAAAAAGCAATGTTCAATTGTTCTATTTTATAGATATTTTTTAGTGTCATGCTCATCAAAGGCTTGAAGAAAAAAACAAGAATCTAGGACAAACTCCTTTGTCATGCATCTACAAGAATAAAACATTTTTCAGGGAAAATGGTAACCATAAATTAAAATGAAGTTTTAATACATCTTAAATCCATAAAATATGAAGTCCAGCTCAGCTAGAATTGTTTATTCCCCCTGCCCCGTCACGACCCCACCCTAATCCGGCTCCTAATGTCAAAATGAGATTGTTTTAAAAAGGTTTGTTGATATTACAACATGTAGAGACAATATTGTGTAGTCTCCCTACAGAATCTTTCAGATTATTTATATGAACAAAATCAGACTACAATGTTCTGACAGATTGCATTTTTTTTTAATTTTTTCATGGCAATTGAATTTATCTTTTGTAATCCATTATTGTTATTCTTATTTTTATTTAGGAATTAGAGTGGAATTTGTTTTATTCAAAGTAGAAACTGAAAGAAAGTGTCAGGATTACACAGACAATATTTTGACTATTTGATCATACTCTGTGTGTCTTATAATTTCCAGTCGTTATCAACATTTTTAGGCCAGTTTTGTTACCAATTGGAGGCTGTGTAGCAATAACAACAGGTAGAACTGTCCTAATCTTTCCCTGTGTCCTTGTATGGCACCTAGTCAAACTGACAAGTCATATAATGTGATAGAAGTCACCCTTAAACTGTTTCTGTCTTCTGGTTTTTCAGTTTGCAGAGGAAAACAATCTCATGTTTTTTGAAACCAGTGCCAAGTCTTCAGGGAATCTAGAACAGGTAAAGGGCAGTGATTATATATAAAAACTTTATTTATTTTACAACAATTGTGAAAACAGTTTTATTCACTTACATTAATCACTCTTGTTGGTCCAGATTGAAAGGCACATTTGATTGTATGGTGAGAAGAAACAGAAGTTCGAGGAGAAAACCCATGTAGACTGGGGAATCACCTTATTCTGTGTGAAGATTTTGTCATAAAACCGTGTTACATATAGCCACCTTACAATGCATTATTCTTGGAAATTTGTCATTGTAAACATTTTTGGGAATGGGTCTGCACTAATGAGTAATGACATTTCACAATAAAATGTTTTATTTATAAACATTGAACAAATGTCACATGACTTCTGTAAGGGAGGTAGATAATAATATTGATGTGCTAACTGGTGAGACTGACTTAACATAAGTCAACCACAAATTTAAATATTTCATAAATATTTATTCAGGTATATGAAAGCCAGGTGATGTTTTAATTGTTGCCAATTCCAATTCTTGATTTTTTTTAACACAGTTGCATATACATTGCTAAGTTTCACAACAGGTTCAATTTCAGAAATGCATACAAATCTGCAATTACAGGAATGTTGGATGTTGTATGCTGTGTAATAGACAATATGATGAAGCATATTGTTGTGAACTGGTTTAATGTATTCATGATTCACAAAATTAACATATTTAAGGTATTAATCCACAAAACATTTATACATACGAAAAATTAGTAGAAATGCATTAAATATAAGTTTGTGATTTAGTCATACATTGTGCCATAACTGACTTTCCGATATCTTGAATAAATTTCTTTTGACAGGCGCTGTACATCATGTGTAAATCTGTGTTAGAGGTAGAGCTTAACAAGACGTTGAGGCTATCCGACATCAATATCAGTGACACGGTACACGAGAGAGGTCTAGCGACGCCTACTGATGGCAACGCCAACAAGTACAAACCCTCCGTGAACCGAGAAGTGGCCTACCAACACACAAATGGACATAACAGTAGTGGCTATGAAGGTCAACTTGGTGATACAGACAGGGTCAACCTCCTTCAGGACGAGAAACAGCAGACCTCAAACACTTGTTGTAGTGTGATGTGATATACAGATTGAGGTACCAGGTCTATTTGACTGAAAACAGGGGCAGAATTATACAAAGTTCAGAATGATGTACCATGTTGATTGTATTCTATTAATTTATTTTACAACAAATATGAAACAAATGGTCCAAATGGTAGTGAGCAGGTGGTTTTAATGTAGAAAGAAACCAGAGTTTCCAAAGTAAACTCATGTGGTTGGACATGTGACACTTTAACTTTTCATATCAAAACAGGGAATCAAACCACAGTCGTCTTGTTGTAAGCAAAGTGCACTATCCACTGCATACGACCTAGAACTGTACATTAGATTGATTTTAATGTTAACAGGGTTAAAACAAAAAATCAGAAAGACATACTATGTTGATTCTAACCTGGGTAGTTCCAGTGGTCTGGGGCTAGCAGATTTGGTTTGTGTCAATTTAATTCTTCTATAATTACCGGCTATCTAAAAAGTGTGAATGTCGCAGATGAGAAAATATAATTTTATTATATATTGATGTATAAGAATGAGAGGTTGATACTTTTAATCAGGGACTGTGGTGGCCATGTGCTTAAGGCATCTTACATTTTGATACCAACAGCCCTCCACCACTGGATCTCGGGTTCAAGGCCTACGTGAGGCAGTCACTAGGTACTGGATGCAGGTCAGTTGTTTTTCACCAGGCTCTCAGCTTTCCCTCACCAACAAACCTGGCTCGACCTTAAACAAAATCGAAGATTCAAATATAAACTGTACATTATAACTTATTGTGTCAGTAAGTTTTTGTAATCTACAAAAATACTCCAGAGGAGATATTGCAGAGTATTGGAAGAAAAAGAAACTCATCACAATTCCAGTCAAAAGAATCAACATCATATGTTAGAGAAGAGGAAAACTCCAAAACATTATGAGACCACTAGTCTAGCTGGATAGTTCACTTGTCTCAGACTAGCGGGCTACCCTTATCGTCTAGACCTGAAACATCAGAATTGTGACTGTGAAATGTTGGACTGATGCATTCACTTCCCCTACAGCTGTATTTGGTGTTCAAACATCAGATTTGTTACTTGTAAATCTTGAGCTGAGCCAACATGGTGTCCACTTGAATGTCACAAGGTGATATCACAATTTAAGTTTAACAGAGGTGATCATTTTTTATTGAACACCGATGAACTACCTTTTTGTGTGGGAGGATTTAGATTGATATTTTGTTGGTGAAAATGATTGCAGAAAATGTCATGCTTTGAATGAGTGAAATATAGTTTGTGCGAGGACATTCACAGGGACTTTGAAGTAATTTTGGTTTATCAGTGAAAATAATGTTTTTTGTAATGTTTTTGTCAAATGTAAGTTATTATTTATGAATTTTGATTTTGATTATTTATGTTTGTAAAAGTGCCAAAGTTTTATTTATCATGCATGTAAACAATACAGAGAGTGGTTTATTGAGTATTATTTCATAAATTTCAGGAAATATTCAAAATATGTAAATTGCAGGGGAGCAAAAATGAACCATTCTAATAAAAACCATTTTTTGTTTTATGTATAGCTTTTTGCATATCCTGACAATCAAAACAATGTAAAAGGATCTCTAAGGGTGTCTAATACTTCTAATAATTAAGGAGGAATTATTTTTTATTATCAACCCACTTTTGAAAATGATTTCAGGTGGAGATCTAAATATATTATAACGGCAGCATTTCACACAGGAATTCTAGAAGCAACTTAAATAGCATTGCTGAGTATATTCAAAGTGTACAGAATATCTATTGAAGTCAGGATTATATACAGGGTTTAGTCAAGTCCAATAATTAAGGTAGTACAATTATGATGCAAGGGAGACAAGTCTGTAAATTAGGTGAATTTCAAGTTCAGTTTAAGTTAATTTGCATAACTTCTAAAAGTTTCAGCATATCCAAACATATTTCTTTATTCTTTTTATACATATCTATTCACTCAAAAATGTAGTCACATTATATGTATTACATGTATGCAATGACTTCATTCACAAAAAATCTAGTGGGATGGTGTATTTATTTAATATTAGCAAATTTATATCCCATTCCACTTCTATCACTGTTGGCACTTAATGCTAACTTTCCAGTTTGCTGTATTTAAGTGATGAGAATTTCAGTTGGAATACCAGGTATTTTAAAAGCTCTACATTATTTCTGTTAAAAATTGAGTTCATTGTCGATATATTTAGTTTACATTTTTTAGTCCAAGTATTTTTTGCATGAGCAAGAATATGATATAATAGTGTATTTTGTATTTAAATTGATTTTAAAAGTTCCCAATAGAACAAACGGTGAAGCATAACTTAGGAAGGAATTAAGTTATATTATATTATTAATTTTTTTTTAATAGAAATTATTAAAAATATTTTATTGAAACACCAGCAATTTCAAATTTTGTTAAAATACCTTTATTTCTATATCAGCATATATTTTTTTGAATGTCTGATTTCAAATTTTACCTTGATGTGTAATTAGGCTTATGAGGTTGGTTACGTGTGTTAACAAGTTTTGTTTTTTGAGGAATAAATTAAAGTTAAATGTTAAAAGTTGTAGATATTATCATTCCTGGATATTTTCCATATAAGTTTGTGTACAAAACAACATTATTAAATTTATGATATGTACAGTGCCCAAATATTTCTTATTAAAATAATATTTTTAAAGCCACATTTTCCAATTATTGGGACCAAAGGCAATGTCTACTTGTGATTTTAAAAGGAACAAAGAATTGTTTTAAATATTCAAACTACAGCATTTTGTATATCTCAAAGCAACAGTCTAATTTATGATGGTATGTATATTGTTATACTTTGATTAATTTTTCCTTGTAATTGATGACCAATGATTTACATGTGTTACTAGTCCAATTTGATATTGTTCTTGATATTGTTTACTTCATGAACATATTTTACTTAAATTTTAGGGGAAACTGATAACAAATATATATTAGTGGTTATCTTATTTTAAAAAAAATGCACCTACTTTAAAGATTTATGGGAAAAAATAATGAACAGCAGTAATATTTTGCGCTTTTGCTTTACCAAGCATTAAAATGATGATAAATTATTTCGTAAGATCTGTGAACAATGATTGCTGAACAATTATCATGTAAGATTATGCTAGTCTGTGTGTAATAACAACACAAATAATACATTTGATTGGTTAGAAATAGTCCTGTGCATGTTTTCAAACCTCAGCAATGGATTTAAAACAGCCATAGTAAGAGGATTTTGAAATCAATGTTTTCTCTAATGTACCGCATTAATTAAGGATTGTATGTATATGATGTGTTTAATATGTTGATCTAAATTCATATTTTGTTAATGTAAATATAATTATTGTAATAAAGGTGGAAATATCTTGTACATTAACTCATTCACCCCTGAAATTTCATAATTAATTATTCCAACCATTGAATTGGAAGAGTTCCAATGTCTTCAGGGGTAAATGAGGTAAAGTGAAACCTTTCTAAACAATAAACACAGGGTCCAATACATTTTACTGAGTAGCCTGCAAGGTAAGGGAGATATATAGGATCGCTCCATTGGCATTGGCGACAATGTTCACACAAATGGTTCACGTGCAATCATTTCTGAATCAATTATTCTATTTTCATGAAACGTTTCTACACATACTTGTTATATTAATTGCCCTTTCAAATTCAATTTCGAATCAAATCTTAAAATCAAAATGGCCACTACCAGGGGCAGGTGGCACATCCACTCCATAGTGTTCTTGTTCGTAATAGTGAGGGTTTTTTCAATGACACAGCTTTAGTACGCAAAGACTGTACAAACAAATACATGTATGCTAGTAGCTTTATGTAGAGTGAATCCTGACTCTACTGACATTACTCACAAAGAGTAAAGACAGTATATTGGTAAAGCCAAAATTAGACCATGTTACATATTACAGGATTTCTTTAAAGTCAGGTGTCAGTAAAATCAGACTTCACTAAGTATACAATGTATGTAATTAAGCTGAACGTCTGAATTAGACAATGCCAGATGCCAGTGTTACAGGATGTGCTTAAAGTCAGGTTTCACAAAGTATACCATGTATGTAATTTAGCTGCAGGTCTGAATTGTTCAGGGGACCGTCAGTTTAGACAGGTTCACTGTAAATGGTACGTAGAACCCCGCTACGCTATTCAATGTGATGTAAGCTTGTGTACATGTAGAATGTTTGCTAATTGAAACTTGAGTGAAGTGTACATGGACATTTTATTTGCAAATAATTCATGTAATTATCCTGGTGATATTTTTCCTGATGATTTAAAATGTGATACACATACTAGCAATAATGAATCAATAATAGTTTTGCATGCAATATTTTTTTTTTTAGATGTTGATAAAAATTTAAATATTCCCAAAGCATTATGTCTAAAAGGAACAGTGTTCTGGCAATAAGGAGTCACATGCCTTTATCTGAGAAAAAATATGGATATACTCTCATTACCCCCTTCTCATTTGAGGAAAAAATAGGTATTCCCTCCGCAAAAGTATACAAATTCATCTCTCAATGTCTTTTCCTTCAAACAACTTGATCCCTATTTTTTTTTTTTTAAATGGATATTTATTTCAATTGGTTCCATGCCATTCAAAAATTCAGAACATTGTCATTTTCAATGTATAGTAACACTCTTTTCATTACATGTGCCCTGTGAATATTAATGGCCTTCTACAGCATAATTTGAGAACTTTACACCATTGTATATCTATGTGTAAATATTGTGATACGATGAGTTTACTAACATATCATAAATACTTTCCTTGATATTTCATCCATAATCCCTCAGTATGCACTGTTTACACAAATAGCATTGTTTTTGTCATGTTTTATAATTATGTGGAGTAAGGTTACTTTCTTACTGTCGCAAAGAGAGCAATTGAAGTTGCAAGCACGATGATGTCAGAGAATTAAAAACTGTGTGTGAAACATGTTCATTTGGCTCTGTTGACATATTCTACCTTAAAGAATTGTTAATTTGTTACATTTTATATAAGGCAGTCGCATAACAGTTGATATCAACTATAATTTAATGATAAGAAAAAAATATTAAAAACAGGGTGTGGTACATCTTGTTTTTCGAAGAGATTTCACGCTCCCTTGTTGATATACATCTTCTTTCTTTTTGCATCAAAAAACAACTTTTATGCATTTCTGATAAAATTCAGTATCCAAATCAAATTAAAATTATGTTTTAAAGCTGTATTTGCATACTGAGCGACGTTAAAACAAAGTTATCAGCAAGGTCACAAACAATTTCAGCTCGATTATTGAGACAGATTTCTTAAAATGTTACAACAAATCTAATTGGTCTTTTTTGGGTTGTGCCGACCAGATGAAAAGTTTCGCGGAATCTTCCTTTTAGTTTAATATCAGTGATTTGTTAAAATAGAAACCCTCTTGTTTTTTTGTAAAAAAAAAAAAAGTAGTTTTATATTTCTATCTTCCTTTAGAACTCTTTTAAAGGATAATTTTTACAAAGTCTGTTTTTCCACTCGTGTTAAATATTAACATTCCAATGTGTCGACTTCAATGTGATAATGAATAGGTTTTGTTTTTATCAAGTTGGTAAACATTCCGGTATTAAAGGATGTTATTTTCTTTTACAAGCAAATGTTTGATATTCACAAAAGTACGCTTTGAAGCTGTTGTTTATGAAAACAAGTAAAACAGAATTGTTTGTGCTAATTTGAGTATATTAAAGTGACATTGTTCATTCACCATATTATATAGTACATGTCAATGTATTAATGAATTATTCAATGTGATTTTATAGAATCTAAGAAGTTGAAAATGAAAGGAATGGGGGGAAAAAAGAATTTTGAACTATCATGTATAAATAATTTTTGTTAACGTTTTGGAAGTTAAATTTAATTTCCTGTATAATATATCATTTTTGAACAGAAATGGTTAACAAAGGGAGATATACCTACAGCATTATCTCCACTGTTAAGTGATAGTGTCCTACTTATCATCCTTGGATCTATCATAGTCCAAAGGGCAGTGATTGAAAATCTGGAAACTTACTTAAATTTCACAAAGAATTATTTTCCCACTTTTTGCTTTTAATATGTGAACCAAATCCAGATTATCAAAATTTGTTCATGAACTGGTCTTGGTAACAAGGGACATCACTCTTTACTCACTCCCGGCCTGTTCTCAATCAAATACACGTTCATTTATAGAGTCTTACTGGACATTATGTTTTCTACAGTGTGTGAAATTTGAATATTAGAATAGCCAAGATTTGTGTTTCTTTTATTATTTTTGATTAGGTTACAATCTGAAAACGAGAATTTTTGTTTTAATTTATTCTCTTTATTTGCAACATTTTCATATAGAGTTAAACAATCATTACAACCATTACAAAGGGACACTATCAGATTACCTCCCTTTCTATTTGATTTATTCTAACACTTTACTTTACAATTCCATGAACAGCATTCTGATAAGGGGAGGTAATATGGTAGGTTCTCGCCTCACAATCCATTGACAGGATACATACCTGTACCTGTAGAGAGAATTACAACAATATATTGAAACAAGTTTTCGGCTTATTGTGATATGAGGATATTATTTCAATGAAATGATATGATGATATTTTGTGAAGAGAGAATTCATGTATTTTTTGATGACAGGGTTTTTGAGTACAGATTTATTGGCTACAATGAACACATCTTGCCTTTGTATATCGATGTGTCATATGATGAATCCATTTAAAGCTATGCATGTGCTTTTATTTTAAGAAACCACTTTTATCACTATCTACTGTGGCCTTGTTCATGTTGATATAAAAGGTACTGTGCTTATTGATATTAAATATATTGACGCTGACTGTTGTTGTAGATCTTTTCTCTATTGGAGATTAACTTATATTGTTTATATACAGTGGTCCCCCGTTATACCACCACCTTATACACTATGACAGTACGACAGCCAAATGTAGAGCAGGTGGAGTAAAATGTACATCTATCTGGTATACATGTGTAACAAACACTGCATTTCGGCACTAACAGCTAGCATTCAACAATTCAAGCACTGACGAGCCACCTACTCATTTACAGCTGAGTAGACTGGAACAAGCGGAGTAAAGTATCTTGCTCAAAGATACAACACATTGCCGTGCTGTGGTGCGAACCCGAACCCTTCAGTCACGAGCCCGGCGTCCTACCACTGGACTACTGTGTCTCCTGCTAAGGAATGTAGAATTTGACCTTTTAAGACCAGAGACTTCAGAAAGACAAAACTAACTGTTGGCACTTCTACTATCCAGGTTGACGTTTGCCTTTGTTTGTTTGTTTGATGGCACTTCCTCTAACATGTTACATCTACTTTTTATTTGACCTAATAATCTCTTCTGTGTTGATGGGACATTAAGAATGCTACAGATAACTGACTAACCTTGACTTTTAGCCTGCAATATTCATTAAGATTGTAATATACCTTGACCTTGCAGAAAAGATAAAATATCATCACTCCCAATAATATTGCTTCCTAATGTTATAATGCTATGTTTACAATTGAGAAGATATTACCTCTATCACCTTGCCTTTTCAACCTATGACCTTGACCTTACACTTGATATCAGACCAAACAATATCGGTAATGTTATGCAATGTCTACCATGAAATTAGTTTGCTTTTACATACATGTCTTTTGACTATTTTCCATGGAGCACTTGGCATAATACCCCAAAAGATGGTTTCATAACTTTGTTCTAAAATTATCACTGTATGGAGGATATGAACTTTGACCTGTGACCTTGACCATGAAAAAAAGTTACAATGCACAACAGGGACAACACTGGCTGTGTGGTGGCAGCCGTATAATAGTTCCTCTCACAAACATGGCTGTGTGGTGGCAGCCGTGTAATAGTTCCGCTCACAAACATGGCTGTGTGGTGGCAGCAGTATAATACTTCGGCTCAAAAACATGGCTGTGTGGTGGCAGCCGTAT